ATTTCCGACGTGATTCTCGTGCTCCAAAATCTTTAAGCCCAACTACAAATCTTTCTGCTATGAATTTTGACGGACCAGCCCCTCGTATTCGGCCGCATGCATTATTGCGATCTGTCGAGCGACCTTCTGTCAACTACCTTACCGAAGTCTCCTACCCCGAACTCCATGGTGCACAATCTCCTATAAAAGCACTTACCGCTCCTAAGAAGAGAACATTCAAAAGCTTGGCCAAACTTGTTCGCACTGGCATTGCTTTGCAAGGTCTATTCAGACCCGGGCAAGACGAATGGTCCGGTCAGAACGATGGCAATCGCAAAAGACAGCGGTTGGAACGTGTCTTCACCTCATTTAGCCCTGGCACTCGCCGCGAACTACGGGTTGCTTTGGGCTTAGGGCAGCAGCTTGCAATGCGGCGAATGATTGCCAACGAAGAAGAGGCCGCCGCTATCGTGGCGGAGCGTCAAGCTCAGGCAAAGCGCCAAGCAGAGGAGGACCGTCGTGCAGAAGAAGAGCGCCAGGCAGAGGAGGAACGCCAAGCAAGAGCAGAGCGACAAGCCCGGGCTGAACGTCGAGCACAGGCAGAGCGCCTCGCTGAGGAGGAACGCCAAGCACGGATAGAACGTGAGGCACAGGCAGAACGTCAAGCCGAGCTGGAGCGCCAGGTAGAGGAAGAACGCCAGGCAGAGAAAGAGCGACAAGCACGGGCTGAACGTCTAGCACAGGCACGTCAAGCCAAGCTGGAGCGCCGGGCCGAGGAGGAACGCCGGGCACAGGCAGAGCGCCACGCCGAGGAGGAACGCCAAGCACGGATGGAACGTGAGGCACAGGCAGAACGTCAAGCCGAGCTGGAGCGCCAGGTCGAAGAAGAACGCCAGGCAGAGAAAGAGCGACAAGCACGGGCTGAACGTCTAGCACAGGCTGAACGTCAAGCCAAGCTGGAGCGCCGGGCAGAGGAGGAGCGTCAAGCTGAGGAGGAACGTCACGCACGAGCTGAACGTCGAGCACAAGCAGAGCGCCTAGCCGAGGAGGAGCGACAGGCACGCGCAGAACGCCAAGCAGAATCAGAGCGTCTACAAGCAGAAGAAGCAGCAAATGACTATGAGGAACAGCCAGAAGAGCCTGTTCCTTACGAATCCGGCGAAGAGGAAGCGGAGGATGTGTATCAAGAGGAGCCCTCTGATGACGAGATGGAAGAACGGGATGTATTCTTACCATCGCCACAACCCAAGCTCAACAACTCCATGCAACAAAGCTCGATGTCCGTCCAAAGAGCGCGGCGAGAAGCACAGTGGCAACTTGAACGGGAGGAAGTCAGCCGCCAGGCTCAGATGGCATCAAACACAAGGTCCGCAGTTTACATCGAAAGCGATGAAAGTGACGCTGAGGCCGACAAGTATGAGGCCGGCGTCGGAATGTCGTATGATGAACAACCCGCGTCGGATGGTGAATCCGAGTTTGAAGAAGAGCCTGAGGATTTCGAACCTAATCTTGTGCCTGAGCCCTTGCCTGAGCCCTTGCCTCGTGAACATCAAGCAGCCGACCCCGAACCTTTGAACGAGGAGGAAAATGGCTACGATGATATCTGGCAACTCGAAGCCAACGACCACGACCATATCTCGGAACATTCCGAGGATGAGCGCCTTCGAAGGGAGGCCGCAGAGGCGGCCAGCCCTTGGAGAGATCTTGCAGCAACCTCAACGCGTCAAAATCACTGGAGCTCGTCTCCAGGCTACGCTGATCCGGAACGTGACAGTGCAATGTACTACGGCCCGTCTAAAGTTCGCGAGCTCCGAGAGCAAAAGGTCGACCTGGATGCTTTGCTTGCGGAAGAAGATACTCCAAATCGTGCACAATACTACAACGGAACGAGCACCCCTCGGGACATGCTGAATCGAAGGTTAGGGACACAACGGTCTCCGATCAATGCCTCTCCCTTGAAGGAAAATGTGTCGCGGACTCCAGCGCATATTCGTTTACAGCCTCTCTCCCAGTCTCCAGACATTCCTCAGGCCGATAAGTCTCCTCGGGTCTCTCACCAGAGCCCGCATGTGGAACACTCATTAGAAGAAGAAGATGATGATGATAGCGTTTCGAACGCTGCACTTGGTCGATCTGAGTCTGCTGATGTGCCTTTGACATCCACTCCACGGACTCATCAGCCCAATGGAGAACATCAAGGATCATCCTGGTTCAAGAAAATCACCAGTTTTACCCCACAATGGCTGAAGGCTCCTACCAGGGCACGCAGTTCAAGCGTTACTACTATCCCGGAAGAGTCAGAGTTTGAAGACGACGATGAAGTGGCTCAAATTGAATCCGCCAAGGAACTTGATGGGCACCTCGACGATAAACCGGTCTCTAGGCAAGGGAGTCGATCGCCTGCGAGTCCTTGGCGACAACTAACTCGGTCTCCACAAATGCAAGAGGATGATCAACCTATGGTCGAAGATGAGGAACCATTCTATGAAAGAAGCGTGTCTCGAGAGCTTGTGGAGGATGCAAACACAGCGAACGACCTGCATGAGGCGTCTCCCGGGCCTAGACCACTTGCTGTCTTCGGCTACTTCTCGGATGCCCATTACATCGCTCTTCGTCGTATTTATGAAATAGCAAAGCGCTACCCCGAGCGTTTCCAGTACTTCGACTCTCCAGGTCGGGCTGCTATCATCGGTGATTGGATATGGACCTCAGATGGCCACCACGGGGTTCCCATCACAGAGATCCAATTTGCTATCATCGACCGATTCGCCCAGGAACTTTCTCGGGCGAATATCCAATACGGTGGAAGTGGACAGATCGATTGGACGGAGGCCGATTTGCATCGGAGACTGATTAGCATTATCATTGGCGAGCAGATCCGAGAGGAAAGGAAGGCCAAGGCCAACCGGGGTACTTCAGTTGATACATGGCGATGAAACTGTTATTTTTGTCTTTATGTTTTTGTCTCATTCTTGGTCCGCAGTTGGAGGTTCGAGGAACATCTACCTTGGAGTCAACGGTTTGTTTTTGAACGGGGCTGTTCTTGATTTGGTTATGATTCCCTCACGGTTATTGGTTGCAGGATCGTGCTTTTCCAGGAGTTTTGGAGCTTCTTTTGTCTGTCTACTTTAGGCTTCTAGCCTCGTCTATTCCACATGAGTGATTTCTGTACATGAGATTAGTATAAATTCCAAGGTTTCCATATCAGAAAGTATCAAATCTCGGAAGGGGATCCCTGCGTTTAACTGCGAACACCCTGTAAGAGGCAGGGTATTGCGGATTGAACAGATATTTCCAGCCAACCATGACGATGTCCTGCGTCGAGGTTCCTTATTTTCCCGAATACCTCATGGGTGGCGATATTGACAATGAAGCAAGTTGAAATCCCTGACGACACAGTCCAGATCAATCACCAAAGTGGCTCGAGTAAGCTACTTGCCTCAATGCCGTCTCCGACAAGTATGTCACACCAACCCTTAAACTAACACAAACACAAACAATATACGTAGACATTGAAGTTCAAACCAAACCTGCAACACTCCATCGTCTAGACTAACCAACAGCACCTGCAGATCGTATCTTGTCGCGTGGCCAGCCAAGCAGAAGCCGGGGAGCCTCGCATCCCCCACTTCCGTGCGAGGTGCCCCTGCACCATTGTTTTCGTCCTTGGGCGTCGGTCTGGCTGGGACTAGAAGTACCACCCTGGATGAACTCCGGCTTTATAAAGCAGGGATGAGAAGTACGATGGAACGACAAGTGATTTACCTCTTTCAAACAGGTCTTCCGGAACACTGCTATACTTCCAGCATCGTATACAGTACTTCGGATCATTGTATATTGTATTCAATGTCCTAGATCCAGCCATGACAGTGTTCACAATTGTCCAACGTGCCCTGCCACCACTGTCCCTCCCCTGGCGCCGTCGAAGTAGCCTAAAAGGCAAATCCCCAGAGAGAGAATTTGATCTCACCAACGACGGGTCCATCCCCGAACCGAACGGCCCAAACGCCAAACACAATGCATCCACAGACCTGCATAGTGACTTCTCAACGTTGAGTCCCCTGCAGGCCCATCTAGCGGTGAGAGACGATGCACGCGAGTCTGCAGAATTTCTCCAATCAATATGTGCCACTCCGGATAATATGTCTGAATCGGAGTCGGATTCGACTTCCGCGCGTCGCCCACGTTCCACAGAAAAGGCACGTTCTACGCGGGCTGAGCTTGCCCATGCTGTTAGTTGGGCCAGTATTGTCCGCAGTCAATGCCGGTGGACATTAGAGCAGGAAAAGGAGCTCTTGCATGCGCAGAGGCAGCTGGCGAGGTGTCAGAGGGCTTGGAGTTCGGAGCAGGAATTGTGGTTGTCTCGTGTATGTCAATTTTCTTTTCTCTTTTTTTTTTTTGCAATATTTTCCATTTTGAGACTATATTGTATCGTGCCTTGATATGTAGCATTTGATTTTTGTATCCGAGCTATAGACTAATGTACCTTTTCTCAATAGGTTGAAGCCCTGAGCGAAGAAAAAGAGTCCCACGTGGGTTTCCTCTCAATGCGACACAAACAACAAGACGAAGAGCAAGCGCAATTCCGAAAGGCCTGGAAGCGGCGGCGATCGTCGTCTGGCGATGAGCAGGTACAGATGACCGTCATGGAGAATGCGAATCAATCGGGCAAATTACGTCGCTTGCAGCGGTATGGCTATTTGGGACCCCGGTTGGGCACGGCCGGCTCGGCGCTTTTGGCGGTTAAGGCGTAGGGCATATGATCGTCTTTGCGGATGACTATTGAAATATTGGGTCTGGAATGACGATCTATTGCATGGGCTTGGGCTTGTCTTCGTAATGATTTTCTTAGCTTTGGTTGAATTTGCATGTAGATTGAGAGGTCCCCGTGGAACAGTGGTAATGGAAAATGAAAGTAAGCACGATTTCTTGCACTTTTGACAATGTTCCTTTTTGTAGAATCTAGACTCGAGTATATTCTATAGGTCCCATAATCCCAAACAACCTGCGTCCGTAGACATCTACGCTTTGTTTTTCTCCGCAGGCCACTTCCGAAACCAATCCGTTAAAATATCAATAGGTGCAGCCAGCAATTCAGCAGCAGTCTCGAAAGGTGGCTTATTAGGCACAAGGGGATGTGACCTGGAAGGAACAAAGATCTTCGTTCGATCCAGAGACTTCGTCAACGCCACACTCTCGTCTTTAGATAAAACATCCTCAAGCATAGGCAAAACCACATCCTCCTCATGCCTAGCATGAATCTCAAAATCACCCAGAAGAACCTTCAGTGTAGGCACAAACTGTGGATCGGTAGATGACAGGTCCTGAAACATTTTGAGCTGCGTCTTGACGCCCTGATGCTCCAATCTATTCCTATCGACTGTTTGCTGTCCGTCTTTCAGGGAGTCGATGAGGGCTGGGTAGACGACTAGTTCTTCGCCAACCATGTGTCGAGCTAGTTCCCAGACCAGCTGGTTTTGGAAACGGGTTTGTTCATCTGGATTTGTTGAGTTGAGGATTTTGTGGCTGTGGGATTTGAGTTCTTGGTGGTCGTGTTTTATTGCCGGAAGGATACGGGAGTGTGTCTCTGGGGTTGAGGCTGCCTCGGTGAATGTGCGTAGAGATGGCCCTACGCTACCCTTTATGGTTGGTGCGGGGGTTTTGCTTGTTGTTTTTTGATGGTCTGAGATTGTTGACATTGGGGACTTGGGAATGATAAGGCGGCTGAGTGGATGGTGAGCGTGCGCCGAAGCATTGGAGCTAAGAAATGGATCTCCAACTTGATTTGGAAAAGCCGTGATTTAACTAGAAGCAAGATGGTTTATAAGTTTGTTGAAGAATATCCGGTGGAGAGTTCCGCTCTTGCCTCCTGTCATCATGATGTAGCCACCTAAGAATTAGCCCTAACTTGATAGGAACACCAACTGCCAGATAGAAGTTGAACACTATTATTTCATTGCGTATGACAAGGTAATCCATGATATTAACATTCCAATTTAATGATACGGTTCAATAAGAGTAAATCACCCAAAGACCAAAGCTCTGACCTCAATACTCTCTCTTCCTCTCGCCCCGACAGGGGTCCTGTCATCCCAAAAAGCTGTGTGGGGGACCGACTCCCCAATCCCAGCGCCAGAATCCAAGACTACCTCCGAATCAGAGCATTTAAGCAACAGGCGCTCATCAGGTGTCATTCCAGACCAATAATACCACCTCTGACCCTCATTAAACTTCACCCCGAGAGTCTCCCCAACCCGGTTCGGGTACCGATGCTGGACGGGTACCAGATCATCAGGCTGTACAGAAGTCGCAGAAGCAAAGGCTAAAGGAGCGGATTGGACCGGCTCGTCGGTGAGTGAACGCCAGACGTTGACGATGCGATAGCGTCCTTTCAGTAGCTTTTCTGATTCTTCGGGATCTGGTATGTGGAGTCTTACGCGGTCTGCAGCTGCTCGGCGTGTTTGGTCGACGTGGACGCGTGTGACGGGTTGGCGGGGTGCGCCATCCTTCTGGCGACGGATTGTATGGTCGAAGAGGACGATTTTGTGGGCTCCTGGTATCTTTGATAGGAGGAGGGATTCGACTTCTGGATAGTAGATCTCTCGGATGGACGTCTCTGAATCGAATGTCTCGTATGTTGTTGATGTGGGGATTTGTTGAAGGGCTTGGAAGGCGTCTTTGTCCAAGCTAAAGGTGCTTTCGGCGTTACGGATGTCGGTTATTGTTACTTTCTGTTCGTTTTGCAGATAGTTGCGTTGAAGCTGGCCCGGTGGTTGGGGTTCAACATAGTTGTATGGCGCGGAGTTATCTGGGGGTGGCGCATAGAAGACAAGGTCGGCGGTTGCTGAGCCTCGAGGAATATAGGTTCGATCTTGGATCGTTCCAGTTATGTTTTCAGTTGTAGTGGTCGTCATTTCGAAGATATGCAACTTGGTTTGCTGCTAGTAATGCGGATGCACTGTAAAATATTAATTTGTAGGCACTGAGTCAAGATGAATCCAGAAAATGCAGAAAACGCCGATGTTTTATATGCCGAACTGCTATGCGTAAGTGAGCAACCTTATACTTCGCATTTGTCAGAAATGCGGAGATGATGTAGCCGGGGCTTACCTCATTTGTAGATGCAATCACATCATCGGCCGGATTTGTGATCTGAACGATATAAACCTCGGATGTACCGATTCTACATGAATCCTGGTTTCTAATAGCAACTGTACTTATCTAGATACCTACCACCTCCCGATGTCGACATAGAGACTGCTGACCAAGCAGGTCCGTAAGGATCGAGCTACGGGTCCACCGAACGAGTTTCGACGAGGCACGCCCCACCGTCGACAAAATAGTCTATTGGAGGCTATGATGCGTAAATAATAATATGCCACTGTTTCGACTTTACTAGACACTGTACTTGCCGCATATGCGACTTGGCCCTGGGCTATAACGATCGGGACGCTTGTAGGTCTATATACATCATGCCATCCGCGGACTCTCCTGCAGACAGCTGTTATTTGTTTGTGTCTTTATCACCCAGTGCCTCGAAACAAGCGGCAGCTCGTGAACAGCGAAAGTCACGAGGATTAGTAGTTACAGGATTTCGCGTTCCAGTTGAGTCATTCAAATACGTCAGTATTTTCCCCCCCCCCTAATATAATCTGGACATCACATCCAATGTTCGCCGGATTTTTTGAACTAGTCACTGGGTGAGCCTCTTCGTCCAGAATAACATGTAGGTCTGCTAGGGGAGGGTCCGAGTGGCAGGACGTGGATGGTGTTCATTGGTGTTGTGTTCTGTTAGGCCCAATGAAGGCCGATACGCGGATGTATCTCATGGATTTCACTTTACATGCGTCCGAACGGGGCGGCAGAGCGAGACATAGAGCGCTTGATATATTCATGTCGAAGTGCGACCAACTCGAGCTTTCATGAATAGGTGCCGAAGAATAAAAGGAGCCAATGGCAGACAAAGCGATAGAAGCCTACCAACAGATCTATGGCGCCGAGTCTCCTCAGACCCTAAACGGCATGAGTGGCCTAGTGACAGTGTTGTACAACCTAGGCAGATTACAGGAAGCTGAGGCGCCGAAGGTACAGGTACTAGGGACTGGCAAGAGGGTGCTTGGCGTAGAGCACCCTGACACCCTAATCAGCATGGATACCCTGGCTTCAACATTCCGACACCTTGGTCAATTGAAGGACGCCGAGGAGCTGGGTCTTCAAGCGCTAGAGAGTGCAGGAAGATGCCTGGCGTAGAGCATTCTAACACACTCGAGAGCATGGCTGAACTTGCCCTTACCTGGAAATCTCTAGGTCGACACGCTGCCGCGCTCAATTGTTGAGAGATAGCTTGACCAAGAGGAAGCAACTCTTAGGACCTCATCATCATGTTGTTTTGTCTAGCTCTGAAACATTACTGCAATATGAAACCGAAGGGTCCGAGGAACAATAGGAGCCCAATTGACATGATGCCGAGGAGCATCTTATCAGTTCAGGATTTTTGACTCCAGCAATGTTCATTTTCAATGAACAGCGATGTTTTGCAACGTTGAGACCCATGGGCCAAAAAAGAATAGAGCGAAAGAGATGACGAGAGCGAACACACCTCCAGCAGGAATGACCACGAGAAATCACCAAGAGGGCACCTTGAAGGGAGCTTTCTCTGAAACTTTTAGTGTTTATTCCTCGTTATAGATCCGTGAATCGGCTTTGGCTGACGAGAAATTCGTGGCTAAACCTCGGAAGTTGTTTTCAGTTAGTTACCCGGGTATTTTCTGCGTGCTTTGGAATGGCCATTAAACGGGCTTACCGATGAGGCTCAAGAGCTAGATCGGAGTTGACTGACAAAAATAAAAGGACAGTCTTAAAAAGGAAAGTTTTAGAAAGAATGAGAACATAGATCGAGAAACCCAGCGATTCAGTCCAAGATGGTTATATGTCGGGAAAGGGCACTGAAAGAAACTTATTAAGGAATCTGGAATATCCAGAAACAGTATGTGTGCCAAAGAAAGTCTATCGAACATATGTCCATCAAAATGTTGGGCCAAAATAGTCCTGGGGTTTGCTTTGTGGTCATCGGATTTCGGGTCGGAACAGTTTATAGACTCCGGGGATCAGAGAGGATCCCGAATTTAGTGTCGCAGGTCTAACATAGAGTTATTTTAAGCAACACTATACGATCGACTTTCAAAGATATAATATTCTGGGATATACAAGAGTCTTCAGATGTGGATAAATAGTGAGTTCTAAGGGTTTGAAATGTTGGAGCCGGGGTTCGGCCGAATCCTGTCGATAAACCCTCCTCGATTGCCTGACATCTGAACATCCCAACAGTTCAACATTTTATTGCTGGGAAAAAGTTACTCAAAGATGTAGTATAATTATTAAATAAAGACATTTGCAATCAAAATCTTAAGTCTAGTCTTCTTTCACCCCAGTACTGGTCTTTTTCTCCTTCAATTCTTGAGTCTCATACTTTTCCATACAGACTTGCCATACAGAACACTTACCTCAACATTTCCACAATGACAGAAACCGAGCCGGATGGCCGAAAGCTACACATCAGCGAGCAGCCTTTTACACTCGGTAACTGGCACAAACATGTCAACTGGGTCAACACCTCTCTCATCTTGATCGTGCCCTTCTTTGGCTGCATCGCTGCATTTTATACCGAGTTGCGAGCTGCCACTGCCGCTTGGGCCATTCTCTATTACTTCTGGACTGGCCTGGGCATCACTGCTGGCTATCATCGTCTCTGGGCGCACCGCTCATATGAAGCGTGAGCACTTTTCCATTCTCACATTCGAGCCTAAGCAACAGAGCGCTAACCGACGTTCAACTCGTCAGTGGCCTTCCACTCAGAATCTTCCTCGCATGCGTCGGCGGTGGTGCAGTACAGGGCTCCGTTCGATGGTGGAGCGCTAAGCACAGGGCACACCATCGATGGACCGATACAGTCAAGGACCCATACAGCGTTATGAAGGGGGTGTGGTATTCGCACTTTATGTGGATGGTCTTGAAGCAGAATCCCAAGAATCGTGGCCGAACGGATATCTCGGACTTGAACGAGGATCCTATCGTCATTTGGCAGCACAGAAACTATGGCATTGTGATCCTCGTTTTTGGAATGCTCTTTCCGATGGTTGTGGCTGGACTGGGATGGGGTGATTGGAAAGGTGGTCTGATCTATGCCGGAATCCTTCGGTTCTTGTTTGTCCAACAGGCTACTTTTTGTGTCAATTCTCTTGCTCATTGGCTGGGTGAACAGGTCAGTACTTCATCCAAGTATATGTCTCCCGTGGCGCTGACATGCTTTAGCCATTCGATGATAGAAACTCTCCTCGCGACCATGTTGTTACCGCGTTGGTGACTCTGGGTGAAGGCTACCATAACTTCCACCATGAGGTAAGATCGGGTTCATGTACCCCCTTTGTTTGAAAGCGACTAACTCTAATTAGTTCCCCTCCGACTACCGAAATGCCATCGAATGGTGGCAGTACGATCCCACCAAGTGGTCAATCTGGGTGTGGAAGCAGCTCGGGCTGGCAACTAATCTAAAACAATTCCGGGCAAATGAGATTGAAAAAGGCCGTGTACAACAACTCCAGAAGAAGATCGATCAGAAACGAGCCAAGCTTGACTGGGGTGTCCCTCTAGAGCAGCTCCCTGTCGTCGACTGGGACGACTTCATCGCCGAAGCGCAGAGTGGTAAAGCTCTTGTGGCTATTGCTGGCGTCGTTCACGATGTGACCGACTTCATCAAAGAGCACCCTGGTGGCAAGACCCTCATCTCGTCGGCTGTCGGCAAAGATGCCACTGCCATCTTCAATGGCGGTGTCTATAGCCACTCCAACGCTGCGCACAACCTTCTTTCCACGATGCGGGTGGGGGTAATTCGAGGCGGTGGAGAAGTTGAGATCTGGCGGAAGAGTGAAAAGCAGATGTCAAGTCAATACACATAGAAGAAAGAGAGACAAATGAAGCAATAGAATGTTTGTGCTGAGTCACCGGATCGGCGGACATGACTTCCCTCCACGTCCCCCCTGTGTTTCCCCCAACTTTTCCCAAGTTCAAGACAAAGAAGGAATTTGCTTCTACTCCACCGGAGTTTTGCCCTTCAATCTCACGCGCTAGGCACAAGGGTAACATTTGTTCCGTGCCGTCAGTGGCGCCTCATAAGCTTGACTGGGACCACGCCCCCCAGTTACATCCCCCCAAGCATCCGGGGCTCGGATCTTCCCCCTCTTTACCAGCCTCCACTCGATCAGGGAGCCCAATAGCTGGCCTTATTCACCTGCATTCGGATAAATCCTGATCGCGCAAAGCTTACCCCGGCTTGTCCCCTCCCCCTAGCGTCAAGCCATGCGGAGGTAGCTTGGGAATGTTTGTTGCGGCACGTAGCTACCCATAAAATGCCTGCACCCCTCGGTTGCTTCCGATCTTTACTGTTTCCTGCTCGGATCACGCTTCGTCTGCTCTTAGTCTATGCTTTCTTTCTCCTAGTAATCATATTTCTGGGATTCAGAATGCATTTCAAGTCTTATGTGACCGCCGCCCTGTATGGGCTGCCTGCCCTTGCACAGGCTGTCCCGTCGCCTTCTTCTTCGCGCGCGTCGGCTCCCTCGCCGTCGGCTGCTAGTTCAAATGATCACTTCAAGAGCTACACCATCAAGGCTGAGAACATCACCGCCAAGCTTATTCCTTACGGCGCGCGTCTCACCTCTTTGACAGTCCCCGATCGTGATGGCAATGTCCAGGACGTGGTTGTGGGCTATGATGACCCCATCGAGTATCTGCACGACAGTGAGACCAATCGCACCTTCTTCGGCGCGGTCGTCGGTCGTTATGCCAACCGCATCAAGAACGGTACCTTCACCGTCGATGGCAAAACCTACCACGTTCCTGAGAATGAGCACGATGGCGTCGACACCCTTCACGGTGGCTTCATTGGCTATGACATGCGCAACTGGACAGTCACTGCGCATAGCGAGTCTGCCATCACCTTCAGCTTGCTCGATCAAGGCTTTGAAAACTTCCCTGGCGATGTGATCACTCATGCCACTTACAGCGTCTCCACTGAGACCAGCCCAGAGAACCCCAAGGGTCTTCCTCAGCTGACTACCAAGCTGGTGGCTCTCGCCCTGACTGAGAAGACTCCTATCATGCTAGCCAACCACATCTACTGGAACTTGAACGCATTCAAGGACTCCAACGTCCTGAAGGATACCCTTCAGCTGCCTCTCTCCAAGCGCTATATCGCCGGAGACAGCATTCTTATCCCCAACGGCACCATCTCCGACGTCGACGACACCTACTCGGGCTCATTGGACTTTACCAGCCCCAAGACGATTGGCAAGGACATTGAGAAGACCACCGGTCTCTGCGGCGCCGGCTGCAACGGCTACGACACCTGCTTCTTGGTCGACCGTCCCACCTCGAACGCCCCCGACTCTATGATCACCGCCGTCCGTGCCTCGTCCGACAGCACTGGTATCAGTCTCGATGTCGCCACCAACCAGGCTGCCGTCCAGATCTACACCTGCAGCGGCCAGAACGGCAGCATCGCCACCAAGAAGTCCCAGGCTAGGCGCAACGAGGAAAACGGCGGTGACGCTGGTGCTACCACCATTAACAAGTACGGCTGCTTCGTTATCGAGACTGAGGACTGGATTGATGGCATTAACAACCCTGAGTGGGGTCGTGTTCCCTACCAAGTTGCCGGGCCTGATGATGGGCCTGTTGTCAACTGGGCTACGTACCAGTTTGGTACCATCTAATCCCTCCGTTATGGAGGATCGTGCACATAACTGCATTGGAATAATAATTAAACATTTGATCTCTACGTTGCGCTAAGGCCATACGCAGAATCTATTTTCAATTCTTTCTACTTTCCTTGTGTGCATAACTGGGTAAAGAGTGTAAGAACAACCTCTTCGCAACTTTAATCGACTTATGTATCTACAACTTCGACAAAATATCAGACCCGTTAACACCACTCCCCTTCACAATTTCATCCTCCCAATAATTAGGATTAAACGTAATCCGATTCAGAGGATTTAACCGATGAGCCCGATTGAACAAGTCCTCATAGACACGACCATCATACCGACCAAGTGCACTGTATCCAACGTTGATGTTAATTAATTTGACTCTTTCTTCGAGTATTTCAATAAGGACTACATACCTGTCAAGCAAATAATCAGGAATCATCCATGAATCAACTAGTTTCACCGCATGGGGTCTGATCCGGCTCATCAGATCTTGGATTCGAGCCGGCAGAGCGTCTAGATCTGACTGAGCGACGGCGTTGCAGCGGAAGACTGCGCCTTGGGTCAGTTTTATAGTTCATGAGATTTTTTGGGGAGTCTTACATTCGTAGCCTTCGCTTTCCATGGTATTTAATGCAAATAGGCGATATAGATCCCATAAGATGGTTCTTGTCGGTGCTGAGAGTGTTTTATTGGTTGAAAGAGCTTCGAAGAAGGTTGTGACCATGATCGATTGCGATTGTGCTGGGGTTTGAGTTAGATTTATTTGCATGATACAACATCTTCAATCTGAACACATACCACGACTTAATTTGTGAAGCTGGATGAGAAGGCTGTTCCAGTTCTTCTTCTTGATAACCCGCTGCTCGTATGCATCGTATGCCTGTCACTTGTTAGCTTTGAGAATTCACAGCATAAACGTATACCCTCTAGGAAATTCTCTATCATACCAAAGCAGTAGCCCTCAACTCAAAGCTTTTCACAACGTCACGATCACTGTTCAAAACATCATACCGCCTCAACAACCCTCCAGCCCGCTTCTCCCGAATAAACGCCCTAAATCGAACATCCATCTCATCGCCACCCTTCCCCCGGTCCTCAACAGCAGCACTCATCTTCTTAATCAAATAACCCGCAACCTGCTGCGTAATCATCCAATTATCCCCCTCAACAGTCGGCTTTGACAAATAATCATTATTAAGCTGAATCAACCCACTCCCACCGCCATATCCATGTCCCCCCATCGCCCGACGACAAGTCTCAATCCCATCTGCAGCAAGCATGGTACAAAGACTCTTCAATCCGGAGGACATGCTATGCATATAAGCTAACGAATTGAAATCCCCTTTCTCAATATCGTCTCGTGCATTCTGGTATACTGTCCGCATGGCTAGGCCTGTGTAATGTAGTGCAAATGTTGTTGCTAGGAGTGGCAGAATGCGAATTTGGACGGTTGGATAGTCTAGTACCGATACCTCAGGTCCGCGCTTGTCACCATCTCGGTCTTGGAATTGTCGGCGGACTGTTGTGTAGCGGATTGCTATTGTTACCGCTCGTGCGAGGACGAGGCGGGCATGGTGGACTATGTTTGCTCGGACGTAGGTTAGGGAGCCGTAAACCAAAGCTGGTCTGTCTGGTTTTGTGTAGACGCCTGTTTTTGGGTTCACGCTTGAATAGCGGGATAGGAGGGCTGAATGTGGGATTCTAGTTTGTTGTCAGTCGCGCTCGAGGATCTTGGAGTATCAACAATTGACAATTGACGTACCGGAAATGATCGAATAGCATATATGCATTGTCCATAGTGATATACCCATACTTGGGCCCAATATCTCCAACAACAATACCCTCTAGTGGCTGATGTGTCTTCATATCCCTAACCTGAACAATAAACGGATGCGGACCATGCGAGACAAACCGATCTGAGCCAGGCTCAGGTAGCAACAGCTGTGCCACTACAATGGCATGATTAGCCACCCGACCCAAGCTCCCATTCCACCACTTGCTAGCAGTAAGAGTCGGGCTATGCAGCACGAACTCTTTGGTGTGGCTATCCCACCGTGCTTCAAGCTCCAAGCCACGGACATTACTACCGTGTCCCAGCTCAGTCTGTGCGTATGCACCAATTATTTTCCAGGACTCGATTAGCGGTAGCCAGTATGCGCGCTGTTCTTCGCTTGCTTGTTCCCGGATTGTTGTTATGAACATCTCCATGTGAAGGAAGTAGGGGGAGACGTCGTCGACTAGGTACTCCGCCATTTTGTAGTCGTCGTGGCTCCATTTGTGCTTGTCACTTAGGCGGCGGAGGAGCTTTGCGCGTGCAAGTCCTAGTTTGAATCGCTCGGGTCGAGACAGGTTTTGCTGTTTGCTTTTTGAGAGGATGGGTTCTTGTTGGAGTATTGATAGGATTCGAGCTTGTCTTTCTAGAAACCCGTCTGAGGACAGCAGGTGCTTTCCCAGCTCTTCTGTTGGGATGTTTGATTGTTCTCGCTCTTGTGCTAGTGTTGATGGCCCATCTGGTTGACTGGGGCGGAGTTTGTCTGTGAAATCGGACATTTTGAGTACTTGGTTGAAGTTGTGGTTAGGATTCCTACAGTCTATAGCGTGTTATGGTCCTCAGTCATCCTGATAAATCAAATTTCCACGTCGATATACCTAGGTCACCGTCATCCCAAAATCACCGAGTGCCGAGTGCCGGCATATCCCCGCGGGGTAGATGCATATCGTGGGGAAGTAGCCGAATGAACTTAACAGTTCAATAAATTATTGGCTGGAGATTGAGCGGGTTAATTCCGATATGCACTCAAGATTCATATAGTCGAATGCGCTGCCGGGATAAGATGGATGGAATGCCCCCCCGCAGGTTCAACATCAAGTCTCCTATCATAATAATGCCTTACTCGACAACTATGGGAGACCGCACTCAATTCATTCCTCCGCATTTAGGAGAAAATGTGTTACCAAATATGCCGTTTTTCCATAGGTTGCTGCGTTACGCGCAACGGAAGCCTTCACCCATTGCGATTCGAGATTTGAACGCTGGTCTTGAAAAGACGTACCATCATCTTCTTTCAGATGTTTTAGCTCTTCGCCAGGTATTGGAGGGAAGACTTAGCACTGAAGTGCGACGTGATTTGGCTGCGGACAAAGAAATTTACATTGGGTTGCTCGCTCCAGGAGGCTATGAATACACCGTTGGCTTCATGGCTATTCTCGCGATTGGCGCAGCAGTAGTGCCAATGGGTGAGTCACATACTAGAAGAAAAGAGAGTAAAGCTAATCAATAGCAGCTGCTGTGCTGCCAGCCAAAGAAGCATCCTACTTTCTTCTGAAAGCTCGATGTGTCGCTCTACTCGCCAGTACAACCAGCGAGCAAACTGCCAAATCAGTGGTGCAATTTGTATCAGAAAGCAAAGGTGTACAGATCCCTTGTATATCACCTATCGCATCATACTTCCAGCCAACGCTCCTCCCAGCAGATGAAGCAACCATTTCATCTGACCTCGTGCCCGACATGAACGGTGCAGCATTGGTGATCTTCACATCTGGCACGACAGGTCCTCCAAAGGGCGCTGTCCAGCGCCGCAGCTACCTAACTGGTAGTGGCGAAGCTGATATGGACCATTACCGTATCAGTGATCAAGATACCGTCCTCCACGTCCTCCCCGTTCATCACGCTTCAGGTGTCGGTTTGACTTTTCTTCCATTCCTGACAGCTGGGGCATGCATCGAGTTCCGCAGTGGGAATTTCGATACGGCCTGGACGTGGGAACGCTGGCGTCAGGGTGGTCTTTCGTTCTTTTCTGGTGTGCCGACTATTTATATGCGGATGATGCGATATTATGAAGAGAATATTGCGCATCAGCCTCCAGAGATTCGGGATCAGTATATTGCTGGTGCGCGTGGTATTAGGGCTATGCTGTGTGGCACTTCTGCTCTTCCGGGGCCTGTCCAGGACTTCTGGAATCGGATTAGGGATAAGCCGATTCTGACTCGATATGGTGCTACTGAATTTGGAGCGGTTATTAAGACTGATCTTGATTCTGAGGGTGTTCCGCAGAATAGTGTTGGGCGTGTTGCTGAGGCTGTTTCGTTGAAGCTGGCCGATGATGGTCATCTTCTGGTCAAGTGTCCTTATATGTTCTCTAAGTAAGTTTGATACCCTAGTTTCGTCTCTGTTTTATTTCTGACAGCACTGCGAATAGATATCTGTTCGACGAGAAAGCAACTGCAGATGCCCATGATGCAGATGGGTACTTCAAATCGGGAGACATTGCCCGCCGCGAAGGCAAGTATTATTTCATCCTCGGTCGTGCCTCAATCGATATCATCAAATCTGGGGGCTATAAGATATCTGCATTGGATATCGAGCGCGAGATCTTGGGTCTGGATTATGTTTCGGAAGTCATGGTCGTGGGTGTTGAAGACGAAGAATTTGGTCAACGCGTTGCTGCCACTATCAGTCTTAAGCAAGATCGCAACACAAGTCGCAAGGACTTGACAATTGCGGAGCTTCGTGATGACCTACGGAGTAAAATAGCTGGGTATAAGATGCCGACTATTCTTCGCGTTGTTCAGGGTGAACTTCCCAAGTCGGGGACAGGAAAAGTACAAAAGAAGATATTGGGGCCTCAGTTCTTTCCGTCGAACTATTGGGATTTGCCTGAGGTGCAGACTTTGAATAGGCAGAGTAAGGCTAAACTTTGATTACTGCATTAGATATATCAATTGCATTATGGCGGCTGTTGTCCACTTATGCTTGAGGTTGGTGACGTCGAGATCTAGAGGGAGTATAATTCAAGCAGGGTAATGCATAAGTGAAAGCAAGTTTCTTATATTTCTAATGAATTAATGCCTGTCTACCTGCAAGATATTCCTGATCTGTGCATTGTCTACCCACGCTCGGCAATGATCAATTGAGCTCGGCTTCCCTTCCGAGGATGCATCTATACAAGGTCGGGCTCTCTACCGTTTCAACTTAGATAGCATAAACTAATAGTTCTGGCTTTCGCTTTTCCCTGAAGTCCTTTCGACCCTCGCCAATAAATTCTGTGCCCGCAAACCCGCATTTTCTCCGCAGCGTCATCATGCTCTGTGGTGTCTGTATGTATCCTTCAAAGCAACCCAATGTGCCACACTGACCCAGCAGACGGGATCTTTGTTAGTGCATCCGGCATACTGGGATTGTCAATCGGCCTCAATGCAGTCTCTACACATGGCATATGCAGCCGGATTTGCGATGCGCCGTATACATGTAGAGAATTGTCTCCATTGCTAAGTAGCAAGTGTGGGGAAATTAGGCAGGATATTTACTTCACGCTATAACTAGTCTATACAAAGGCCAAGTAGTTAATCTAATCAAAGCCCTTGAATTCATCATCATGCTTTTTGCCATTGGCCTCATTGGCCTTCTCAGCTTGTCTGGCAAGACGCTCTTGTTCGTTCTTCGCACGAATCTCTTCCAACATACGCTGCGTTTCTTCGACCTTCTTCTTCTCCTGCTCGGGCAGTAGCTCCCACCTATCCTTCTCCTTGCGGGCCTTCTTGATCTCCTTCTTCTTGAACTTCTTGTCTCGTTCCTCTGTCTTCTGGCTCCAAGCCACACTCTCAGTAGCCCGACGCTTGGTTCCTTGCTCGGCACCTCCGCCATTAGCAGCCTCCGCCATGGCTTCCTTGCGTCGCTTTTCTTGTTGCTTGTCTTTGTATGTGTAGTTGTCCCAGTCGAGCTTGACACCTAGGGTTTTGTCACCGGTGAATGCGCGCAACTCGGGCATCTTGGGAAGCTTCAAAAGACCCCAGGCCTTGCCGAGAGCTTCCCAGTCTAGATCTGCCACCCGGAAGATACTGCTGGCTTGGTGCTTGCTGTAGCTGCGCAGCCAGCTGACAAATGCTTTCTGGCCCTTGTCGTGCATGGCCCGATCTTTGAGAACTGCTTTGCGTACTTTGTCTGTAGCGGCTGTGGCCTCTTCGTCGGTGAATTCGGTCAGATTATAGGGTGCGACAGGGGTTTTGCGGATTTCTAAGAAAGAAACATAGTCTTCCTCGCGGCCAGGGTGGATGAGAACAATGCTGAGGCCTCGACGACCGGCACGGCCTGCTCGGCCACATCTGTGGATGAAAGTTTTGGGGTCGGATGGCGGGTCAATCTGGACCACTAGATCGACGGATGGGATATCCAGTCCGCGGGAGGCAACGTCAGTGGTGAGTAGGATGGCGGGGGTTGTAGCGGTGGTGAAGCGGTTAAAGTTCTTTTGACGGACGTTGGCTTGATGTTTCCCATGCAGCGGCACCATGAGGAATTCATCTCCCAAGATTATCGGTAGTATGGTGGCGAGATAATCCACACTTGAGCATGTCGATACGAAGAAAATGGTCTTCTGGGGTGTGGGCTGGACTGTGGAAAGGATATGCTTTAGAATAGCATATTTGTGAAGGGGAGGCGTTGTCAGGTAGGTCATTTGCAAACTATCCGAGGGTCAGAATGAATCTGGAGTTGTTCGGGTCTAGAACATACCTTGCTGGAGTACGCTTATCCTCGGCACCAGCGCCTCCCTTCACCTTGACAGCGATCTTTACTGGGTTGCGAAGACCCACGCGGACGATCTGATCAACAGCTTCGCTGATACTGGCACTGAACAATCCCGTCCTGCGCTGCTTAGGCAATCGGCGAAGAATCTTCTGCAAATCCTCCTTGAATCCAAGGTCCAAAAGTCTGTCGGCCTCGTCTAGGACAAGCATTTCGAAAGAGGACTGGGGGCAGTGCACGTGAGGCGATGAAAGAAGTTCCAACAGTCTTCCGGGTGTAGAAACCAAAACATTGGGTGACCGTTTGAGGAATGAACTCAGATCTTCCGCTGGGGAGGTACTGCCGCCCAGGAGGAGTTGTGGGACGACCTTCAATGTCGATGAGGAGGACTTCGGACGAGGCGCATCACCCTCGGCAGGCTTGATGGCCACAGCAGAGGCAGGGTGGAATTCCAATAGCGAGAGAAGAACTTGGTAGATTTGCGAGGCCAATTCTCTAATGACAACTATTAGCGATAAGCTCTGTATTGCATATGCGCCGTGCGTACCTCGTGGGAGAAATGATAATAGCTCCAACATGATGCTTTTTGAGGGGCTCCTCAAGGCGCAGTAGCTTTTCAACAATTGGGATCAAGAAAGACAATGTTTTTCCACTTCCAGTAACCGCTTCTACCACAACATCCTTGTGTTGCATAAACAGAGGGATGGCCGAGGCCTGGACTGGCGTCATGCGCGTGAAGCCCATTGAGCCCACGGCGTCGAGTGTCCATTCGGACAAAGATGGCTCAAGGCCATCCCAGGCTCTTGAAGACGGCTTAGGGGGCATCTTGTGAGAACACCGAATCCTTGAAAATGTCTTGAACTGCTGAGGCGCAAAGAAAAAAATCCGTTATCGATTAGATATGATGCACGTGACTGCGGCATTGGGCGGAAATGGGGATATCTTCTTTTATGTTTCTTTTCTACAGCTTCGCTCGACTTGCCTTTTCTTTGTTTTCACATTATGCGCTGGGCTGTCTTTTGTTTCAAGCTTTTCCGCCTATAATTGTCATTGTCGATAAGGCACCGTGTCGTGCTCATACCGCCCATCATTTCTTCGTTCGCAGGCCCACTTATACCATTTGGCTTATTTGCCTGCGACAGTGCAGATATCTGTACGCGGCCACTATCCGGCGTAATCCCGGTCGCATCGCTTCCTTCGTTCACCTTGAGAGCATCTGAGATGCCCACCTCCCCAGATGCCGTACCCGCAACACCTCGCGTGATCTCTCCGACACCCTCTCTTTCGGACCCGTCGGAGACACACGATGAATATTTCGCACCGACAACACGGTCTGCTGCACGCCGGCAGCGTCAGTCCGGAGTCACAGGGCAAGCATCAGGTGCAGAGCGTACACCGAGATCTTCCACAACTCCCTCTAGGCCCGCGCGCCGGTCGAATCCCAAGATCCCAGCTTCGCCGCCGCGCTCGCCCAATGGCGATACTTCAAACGGCCACTTATCGCCGTTAAGCATACCGGATACACTACGCGATCTCTCACGGTCCCCATCTCCTCTCGGACTTATCCCGCTCCATTCGCGCTACCGCTCCTTCATTCACCGCCATGAAATTCCCCGCAAGCTCCTGCACGTATCCATCGGGTTTCTGACCTTGCACCTGTACAGTCGGGGCGTGCAGACGTTACAAATCACCCCGGTGCTCTTCTCTGCTTTGGTGCCCATCGCAGCAACGGATTTTATCCGCCATCGTTCGGAGAAGGTTAACAAACTCTATGTTCGATGCATGGGTGCCCTCATGCGCGAAACTGAGGTTTCGGGCTATAACGGCGTCATCTGGTACCTCCTCGGAGCGTACGTTGTGCTGCGCTTCTTTCCCAAGGACGTCGGAGTTATGGGAGTGTTACTACTTAGTTGGTGTGACACCGCCGCTTCGACATTCGGCCGTCTTTACGGCCGCCATACCCCTCGTCTCCGGAAGGGTAAGAGCTTGGCTGGCACTATGGCCGCTTGGGCTGTTGGTGTTGCTACTGCTGCTGCTTTCTGGGGGTGGTTCGTGCCTTACATCGGTACTTTCCCTAACGACCCTGAAGATGCCTTTATGTTCACTGGACGCTTGAACTTGCTCCCGAATTCTGTTCGCGGTCTTCTGGGCTGGGAAGCTAGTGACTCTGCAGTCATCACCGGGCCTCTGGCTCTGGGTGTTATGAGCGTCGTTTCTGGCGTTGTCGCTGCCGGCAGTGAGTTCATCGACATGTGGAGCTGGGATGATAACCTGACGATCCCTGTCCTAAGTGGAATTGGGCTATGGGGATTCCTCAAGGTTTTTGGATAGATGGTTAAATGATATACTCCTGGTTTTGGTTCTCAGCACAGCACTCATACCTTTTCATTTTTTCAAATGTTATTTTGGTGTCTTACATTTTGGGGGCATGACTTCTTTCACATCTCTTCTCTACTTTCGGGCATTGCGTTGCATCAAGATTCCGGTTTCTGCTTAGATAGGGGCGTGGCCAATGCTTCGTCCGTTCTGATGCTACTTCTCAATTCTCTCCAATAAATACACACTGGCTTTTACTTTGTATTTACTCTCTGGACTAGGTTCTTGGGCGCTCTGGTTATATGCGCACATAGTCTTCCATTTGATAGACCTGAAATATGAACTTGGAATCAAACAAATCGTTGGACGCCAGGTATTTCTTTTTGGCTCTGAGCGCAATAGTTCAAACTTCCTTCAAATGCAGTAGAATAACGCCAAATGCCACACGCATGGCATATGCTTCTGTTCAGAATCTCAAATACTCGCAAGAACTCATGGCCTATCCAAACGCTCAACTCCAATAACCCAAAATAAGACCTATGGGTATAAGGAATACTAAATCAAGTCGAGGATGCTCACACGTGGGATCCTCTTTTTCTTGCCGCCTCGGGCTTTGCTTTCGACTCCATCTGGGTCTGCTGAGTCCCCAGGCGAGGAGTCGATGCTCCAGAAACCATTGTGTATGGTGATGCCCTCTAAGTGACCCACGGTTTTGTGGTCCTGTTTGTTGCTTGTGGTTTCTTTCGAAGGCTTTTTGGTGGTCTGCTTTGGATTTTTGGCATCCCATTCGGTTTTCTTCAATGACACCGCGTTCTCATGACACTCTTTGTCTTTTAGTGGGACTGAATTCGTTGAGCTTGATGGTTTCTCCGGCTCAGATGCCGTCTGCTTGGGAGACAGAGATGATTTAGTGGCCTCGATCTTAGTGGTCCGCGTACGAACTTTGGGTTCTTTTGCCTTTCTCGGTGAAGGTTGACGCAATGGCCTAGCTGGTGCATCTTCACTATAGTCATCAAGCTTTATTGACAACGAAAGGGTCTCAATGGCCCTTCCAATCTCTTCGACAGCTAGGCTTCCCTCTTCGTACTGAGGCTCGGTTGCTTTCTTTGCCTTGGATCGAGTCTTTTTGGATGGAGAGGGCGGAGCAATCAGGGCCCTGGCTGGTGATTCCTCGATCGAGGTTTCCGAGTCACAATAGTCCGAAATTGAGTAGCTTATTTTGAGGCCCCTGGATCGCGTTGGCTTGGACGGACTATGATTTATTTCCGCGTGTAGGGTCTCCGATTCTTCAATCTCGATTCCATCGGTCCCCAAAAGTCCGCGCCTTGACCTGATGCGAGACTGAGCTGCCATGGGGTGGCGCTTGATATTTGCAGAAGGGGACAAGGTAATGGAAGAAAAGGTATCCAGGAGATCGTCAACCTCTTGGGATGAGTAGGACATCATCGGCGTGGCACCCTGCTGAGCATACATACTTGGGGAGACTGGACCATGTTCCATGTCAACGACAACTGGTGAAGTAGAGCCGGAACCGGATCCAAGCCTGGAATGAGGGTCCGTGGTCGATTTTTTCGAAATAGCTGCTTCTAGCAACTGTGTCTGTTTGGATGCTGACAATTCGGTGGTTTCTTTGGTAAGCGTTCCGTATTTCAGGATACTTCCTCGTTTCATCCCAGGATCAATTGGTCCCTTCTTCTTAGGTGCCATGCGTCGAGTAGGAGTGTTTTTGGCAGGCTTCTTTGCTTTCTCGGTTTTCTCGGCCTGTTCGTTTTCCCACTTCTTCACGATGTCTGGAACACCTAACCGTGCAACGGTCTCAAAGACCCATACCTTTTCGATGGAAAAAGGGTCATATCGTTTCGTCACTCGGGACTTTGACGGTGTTGGGGGAGCCTGTTCCGAGGCCATCTCTGTTTCATCTTCCTCCTCTCCCTCTTGTGGAGTTGCTTGAGATGGAACAGGCTCCTCGGATGGGAGTGGTGGATTTGGCTCTTCAGCAAGAAGATCCAACCCAACAACATCTATAGGCAGCATATCCAGCTGTAGCTCTGGCATTGCATCCGTGCCGAAGCTTGACCGACATTTATAAGCTTTTTGTAAAGTGGGTGGACATTCAGGAACGAATGAGAAGCCTGGAGCCACACCTCGCACTGGTCTCTGAAGGCGGAGTCGGTAGGAAACAAGAGGCTCGGCCAATAGTTTAATCACTTTTCTTGCGCCAGATCGATAATTCCATTCAAAATGTTCTGCGGCAAAAGTTCTGATTGCCAAGGGGTCAATGTCTCGATCCCAGGCCTGCCTAAGACGGCTTCTCAGAAATGACATTTCTTCGTCGCTGGAAACTTTCGGCTGAGCATAGTATTCAAGAATGGTTCGGTCGGGGAATGTTTCGGGGATCCTGACGGCTTTGTGTTTTGTCGTAAAATAGCCACTCTCATTCTCTTCCAGTTCGTACTGAAGACGCTCTCTCCACTCGGTCAATCCTGTGTCCACGTCTGAATCCGAGTCTAGCTCTTGCAGGAGATCTTCACCAAACCCAGCTTTGGCAATTTCTGCGGCGAGTTTGCTTCCACATTTGGGTACACCAGATGGGAGATAGTCTCCACCGCTCAGCATGGCGAAGAGAATCATTCCCGGGCGGTCGAGGGGTATGTTTGAAGGGTGCCCGTTCTGTCCCATTGCATAACATGTGACATGAGTTGCAGAAGCTGTGCCACTGCCATTCTCTTTCGAGAAGTTCATGATAGTCAATGATGACCCAAACATCAAGGCATCGACATCATTACTCATGACGGCATCCACAATTCCTGCCTGCTGCAAACGTGCACACTCAGCTTCAGCTTCGCCGGGTGCTTCATGCCATGGGAATCTGAATCGTTCAATGAGGTCTTTTGAACGTCTGATGATAGGGGCACTGCCGTAGCTGCGCGCAGAGACTGCTTTGCCTCTTTTGAAAGCAGGCTTTTGTCTTCCATCATAGACAAAAAGAGGATGAACTGGTAATGCAAGCAATTTGAGCAGTCGATAAAATAGAGTGCGCAGTTCGGGATTTCTTCCACCCCGGCCTGCTTGAACTTGGAACAGCCAAATCGAAATGTCGACGGCGATACGAATCGGTCTTGCTGTCCGTTCCAGATGCGTTACAGCCAATTTGGCCAGAGAGATGCGTTCTCCCGCGCCGATGGCGTTAATGAGCCTGGATCAATGTCAGTAAACCAGGTTCATCTGCTCAAGGGAAGCTGCGGTTCGGTATGGAGAGGAGATGCGTTGTGTATGTCCTCCCGCCACGCAGGGATATAATATCCCACAGCACGATTAAGTCACACTCACCCTGGAATACCCATTCTGCCAGCCCCAAAATGAATGCAATATACAAAACACCAAAACCGTTGCGCCACGCCATGTGGTTCTGGCGATGGGGCTGGTTTGCGGAGATGAAGTTGTTGATAGAAGTAAATAAACCACGGCCCGATGTAGATCCGTTGCCTTTCCAACGCTCGAGCTCGCAACCTCACAACGGCAACGAATTCAATTTCTCTTGAATAACTTATTCACTTCTCTTTGACTTTCATCCAATGGCGTTGGATCTTCTATCCGCGCGCCGGTGAAACAAACCCTGATCGCTACGAACCTCCGCGGAATACTGTTGACCCGAAAAAGGAGAGCAACGCGCCCGAGCTCACCACTACATCATGGCGAGCGATACACCTTCGATGGGCGCTAGTAAGCGCAGCTCGGCAACCTCCAATCTACGCCATAACCAGACTGCACGACCAGCCTCCCCGCACACACCGCAGCAGCAATTACGCTCGGGCAACACCTCATTCAATAGCACGACGTCGCCGGGCTCGTCCTTTCGAAATGAAGACGATGCGATCATATTCGAGATAGGTGCACGATGGCTCCGTGCAGGATTTGAAGGAAACAGCGCACCCGCATGTGTGATCGGCTTTGGGCCCGAGGATTCAAGGAGAGCGGGGGACTATCGGGGATGGATTCAGGGCAGCACTGGTGCTGGACGGCTAGCTCAGCCAGTCGACGCAGAGGAATGGGCACGAGCATACGAATTGTGGAGGCCAGACTCGCGAGAAGTTGATCTGGGTCTGGTTGAGGACAAGATTGAGCGCGCATTCCGCGAGACCTTTAACCAGTACCTGTTGACGGACGCGGGTACGTCTCGCCTGGTTCTTGTCTTGCCTTCGCTTATGTCGCATCCATTGCTTTCGTCGCTACTATCTACGCTCTTCAGTCGCTGGCGATTCCCGAGTGTCACTCTTCTGTCTAGTGCGACTATGTCGGCTACCGCTGCTGGGCTGCGGTCTGCTTTGGTGGTTGACCTTGGGTGGGCTGAGACCACGACAACGGCCATCTACGAATATAGAGAGATGATCACAAAGAGGACGACACGAGCTATGAAACCACTGATGCAGGAGATGGGCCGTCTTCTCACTAAATTAGCCTCTGACGGGAATCATAACGATGACGCAGAGGACGATATATCTGTCGGATTTTCTTACTGTGAAGAGGTGGTCAGTCGATTTGCCTGGTGTAAATTGCAGGCAGAAGAAAATTCAGCATCAGACCAGATATTGTCGATCCCATCTCCAGCAAATCCCGAGCAAGCATACATGGACGTGTCGTTCTCACACCTCGCCGGCCCTGCTGAGAAAGTCCTAATTGCCGCGGGCACTGCGGAGCATGAAATGGACGATGAAGAAAAGTCGATCCCCTTGCTTATCTACAACACACTCCTTACATTGCCTCCCGATGCACGCGGAACATGCATGTCACGCATCGTCTTCGTGGGTGGCGGTGCTCGAATTCCGGGGCTGCGTCAGCGAATCCTCAAGGAAGTCTCACTGTTAGTTGACCGTCATGGATGGAGCGCAATCAGAGGCAAAGCACTCGAGCGACAGCGGCAGAGATTGGAGGACTTGAGACTCTCAGCTCGAACACCTTCAAGGAGCACCGAAACACCCAAGAATAGCGGGAAAGCTACGAGCGACGAGGAGGCCTCATCGGGAGATGAAGCGAAACCAGACCCCTCCAAGGAGGAACCTGAACTGGATTTTGTTGAACAAAAGCTTCGCCGACAGAACAAGGACATTCCAGTCCCCGTTCAAGGAGTCTTGCGTGAAGTCGAATCCCTTGGTCCGTGGGCTGGTGCAAGTCTGACGACTAGTTTGAAAATCCGGGGGATGGTGGAGATCGAGCGAGAAAAGTTCCTACAGCATGGATTGGCTGGAGCCACACGAGATCCCGACCATCATGTTCCTGATCGTCGATCGGGCTTGAGATCCGGTGGTGATCGGTCGAGTTGGACATTGGCCGGCTGGGCATGAGAACTGTGTACAATTGGCGCCACATAAGAACAAAAGATACCCCATGATTCAACAGCCAGCATTATCAGTCTTGATACTCTTCCGTAAAGTAGTTTTATATATTGTAAATGATGCGGCAATATGTCGAGCTGAAAAGCGTCAAGCGATACTTTCGGCAATGCAGCCTCGGCTTCTGGCGCGGGGAAGAGACCCACGCCCTTGGATTGCTTCAGTTTCACAATGTTTAAACACTATGTGCAGGTCAACAGGTCAACATGGATGATTTTAGCCCTCCGCCATTGCGGGCACCTACGGCATGTGTTGCTTGCAATAAGAAAAAGGTACGAGAGTGGAACTTTGCACGGGATTTTGCTGATCTTGGTAGGTCCGATGTATCTTCGACGAAGCTTCTGAGGTATGTCTGAACTGCCAACGGCATGAATGGCCTTGTTTGTGAGTATTACGCGTGCGGTAGCAATAAAGGGTCGATTTAATAACTTTTGATCAGTCAACGAGAGCGCAAGAGAAAGAGAACACGGACCGATGATACCCAAGCAACTAGGAGAAGACGAGTTACCTGGGGAGAGTCAGAAGCGAGTAATATCAGCCCTTGCACCGTCGAATCATCCTTTACAAGTTCCGAAGAAACCCATGACCGGAATCAACACCGCGACAGAAGCCAAAGCAGCATAGCCGGCATCAGAGATGCTCTTCCAACCCCAGGGTGGTCCAGGGTATCTGAACCCTCACGGCCAGACCCAAATCCATATTCTTCTGCTCCAATCCCAAGCTTCATGGCCCGCTCTCGTTACTTCGATGATACAGTAGCCATCAACGAGGACCAAGCCAGATCATACCCGACGGGAGAGGCAGACGGTCCCACAGAAGATGATATCCAACTGCTACGGTTGCAGGGCGCCTTTGAGCTACCACCACGGTCTATCCGTGATGGCCTAATCAACACATTCATGGAACGATGTTCACCATGGATGCCAATCATCGAACGCAGCTGGCTTGAAGAAAGCGGTTCTCAGAAACCGTCCATGCTACTTCTTCAATCGATCTTCGTTGCCGCAAGTCGAGTTACCTCGGCGCCGGCTGTCACTGCGTATGCATCTTCGCATCAGTTTTACCGCCGTGCAAAAGCTTTATTCTGGTCTGGTTATGAGAGAAATCCAGTGACTGTTGTCGCTGCAGTTTGTATTTTGCATTGGTATAATCCTGAAGGACCGGAGCATGTGTCTACCAATACTAGCGGGTTTTGGCGATATGTAGGGGTTGGCTTGGCTCATCAGATTGGACTGCATAAGGAACCGACTAACAAAAGGGATGCTCCTTTGAGGCGCAGGCTCTGGTGGACTTTGTTTGTAAGTTATTTCATGGTAGTCCCTTTGGTTTGTGAACCTGTATCAAGAGACTGATACCACCGCAGGCTAGAGACTGCTTGATTTCTGCCGGACAGGGTCGGCCACTCGCGGTTGACATGGACGATTGCGAGCTGGCACCACCCTGTCTCGAGGACTTTCAAGATTCGAGCTCAGATGTCACTCTATTTATCGCATATGTGGAAATCAGTTCAATCTTGGGCCATCTTACCCAACACTGTCGACGCAAAACTCTCACGCGTCAGGTACGACAAAACATCGAGAATCAGTTGTATCGATGGACACGAGAACTCCCACGGTCCCTGCGCTTATTTCGCAGTGACAGCAGGCCAGGGGACTCAGCTTCACCCAAAGGTCTGGCTCAGTACAATTTTGAAGCGCGACAGCTTCACATCCCATACTTCGTTTGTCTTGCGATCATGTGTCGACCGATTTCTGGAAACTTGCCTTCCTCAGCAATGATCCTGGCATCCTCATTTATAGCGGGGATCTTCGAAGACTTCCTTGCTCGAGACGAGGTCCAATTTCTGGGTCCAATCTTCACTTTTCATTTACTAGCTGCTGGAATTGGTCTGCTTTCAAGCAAAAATATTCCTTCCCTTTGGGAGCAAGCGGCTGGTAGTTTGGAAACAATCTATCTGGCCCTTGATGAACTTGCAAAACGCTGGTCGTCTGCAAAGGGTAGTCTCAGAGCACTGAGGAGCATTGCTGAGAAGCAGCAAAGCCTAGCAACGCCAGATCAAGTGCCGGTGATGACGCTCTTAAGGGAATACCGGCCCTACTTCGAAGGATTCGGGTCGGAGCTTTCTTGGGCATGGCCTTGCTTCATGGAAGTCGGACAAAATGAGAGCAACAATGGCAGTGGCACACTAGCATTCGGTGAATCGGATGCTATAGGTCATTTGGCCGAGTCCCGGGTACCGGGCGATATACCTTCGGAGTATCGGCCTCTTACAACTGTCTTGGACCCGAATGCTGGGTTTGTCATGGGTGATATGCCGCAGGACATGACGGGTGACTTCTTTCACGATCAATATCAGGGCATGGGAGATTGGCTATTCAAGGATCTCGACTGGAATGGTGAGATAACTTGGTAGATGTCATGAACTACACATAGGCTCTGCAAGAGCAACCAGAGGAGAACACTGAATGTAAAAACAATTTCCGATGGACCTATAGTACTTCAATCTTCTGAGTTGCCACTGTACAGTTCTGTCAATATGTCGTGCTATAGTATCTCATGCTCCGGCACTCGGTCAATTTCGGTAAGAGCAAGTGTGGGGATCTGGGGATGCGGGGGGTCAACGTACAACTAGAAGACAGCTTAGCTTAGCATACATCTATGTACATCTATGCATAGGTGATTCCAATACATCTGACATCTATTTCTACTCTTTGAAACTTTGCAAACTCCCCGAAATGGCTGACATGCCAACATTTAACAACCTATCCCTCGAACGACATGGCAATGTCTTCGTTCTCACCATGCAGAAACCACCCGAGAATCGACTCAACTCAGCATATTGTCAGGAAATGATTCGAGCATATCGCACTGTAGAGAATATCCTTGGCTCTGGTTCTGAGGGAGCAGTGATTACGCGCGGTAATGATACTAAATTCTGGTGCACCGTGGGTACAACTGATGTCTAAACTGAACCACCTTGGAACAAGTACTAACAGATGACAGGGACTTGAATTAGATGAATCAGATAAGAATCCATTTGCCAACACTGATGGTTTTTATCCAGTCAGTTCATTCAATACTCCCCATCGGACAGTTAACACATCTCCACCAAGAGCCCTAATTAATCAGATTCCAGTAGCTCATCCACACAATTCTCGACTTCCCATTCCCAACAATCGCCCTTTTAACGGGCCATACCTTCGGTGGTGCCTGTCCACTAGCACTAGCTCACGACTACCGAATCATGAACTCGCGCCGCGGTTTCATCTCCATGCCTCCTGTCAACCTGGGTCTGCACTTTGACGGAATCGGTGCCCTACCTCGTCTGAAATTACGCCCACAAGTTGCGCGTAAGATGCTGCTTGAGGCAAACAGATGGACCGGCAAAGAGGCTTTGGAGGATGGGATTGTAGATGTTGTTGCTGAACCTGAGGAGATGCTTGATGTTGCTCTGGAGATGGGGGCAAAGTGGGCGCCTAAGGCGAAGATGGGGTATGTTCACTCTTTGAATTTTGACTTCATCAGAAGCATATATGTATTTGGGCATGTACTAATTGCTGTGAATATAGGGTATATGCCTTGCTCCGTCAGGAGCTTTGGGGAGACGCGATCAAGAAGTTTCAGAGGATTAGCTATGTTCATGGTCGTATGACTTCGGCGCCTGCTAAGGTCAAGATTTGATTCAAGCGATGCTATTCGTCTTGTTCCAAGTGTTATAACAGGAGTCGTGAATTCGTATGCAGTACCCTTGACGAAGTATTCGACGATCTCTACACGAAAGCCTCGAAGCGAGTATACCATTCCATGCATAGTTTTTGCCCTACTTTGATCTCTCTTTTTTCGCCTCCTTTTTGCCCATTTCCGAGTGCCTCGGATAAATCATATAGGTCATATATAGGTGAGAGCGTGAAAGAACTTATGGCCTATGACTCTGTTTGGATCTTGTGGCCGCAAGGAAGAGAAACAAAGAGCTACAGGTCCTATACATCCAGCTGGCAGCTGGCGAGAAATCGCCTAAGGAAGTCAAGACAACGTGACCCATTTCAGTTGATACGTGATCGACATTCAGTATTAATGCCCATGACAATTGTAAGAGGCGGAATGGTATCTCTTTTGGAATAAAGTAGTCGAAATTAACTTCTCCACATCTTCTCACCCTCTGATATTCTCATAATCTGCAGTAAGCGTCTCCCGGATGATAGCCAATACAGCAGCTACATCCTCATCATTAAGTCTCAACTCCCTCTCCTCAACGACAGCATCCAACAACACCATAGCAGTGTAATCTGCAGGACTCATCTCTTCTTCCTCGCCTTCGCCCTCCGCAGCCTGCCCATCCCCATTCTGTTCATCCACCTCCATAGCCCCGTCACCATTAACGAGTACCTCGCCACCTTCCTCGGTAGCTTCAGGCGTAGCACTCAAGCCCAGACCGAGATTCAAGATCATGACGACCTCAGCTTTTGTTAGTCCGTATGGCTGTAAGCGGGTTACTAGATCCCGCAGGGCGGTGTCCATGGGTGTTGGTTCTGTAGAGGGAATTGGCGGAGGAAGGGATGCTGTATCGGGGTCTGTGTTTGATGTTTGGGCTGGTAGTGTGCCGGTCATGGCGGCTTGTGATTGCGATTGCGAGGATGAGGGTCGGGCTGTGTAGCGGGGGTATCTAAGAAGGTGGGGAGAGAGACGATTTGCATAATTGTGGATCTGAAGGGAAATTAGCTGATGTTTTCTGCTGTGGTTGTCTTTTCTTGCGATATTGGGGACGGGAAGCGCCGCTTTTTATCGAGGCCGTTTCATGTCGGCTCTCTTGAGGCAGGTGCGTTGCGCCGCAATACCCAGAAAATCAGATTAGAGGAATAGCTTAGGAGATCTTACCTCCTTTACGACGGTATTATGGTCTCTGAGATCGGGGCTAGGGACCCAATTGCGCGAGTTTGGCGGCGGGTTTGGCGGCCGGCGGGGTGGATTGGAAGTTAGGTACGCCAGGACCTCGACATTGGTCAGGACGGCCGTTTGAGGGTCAATAATCTATAATATATAGTCAGAATATATTCATATTTTTATCCTGGAAAGTCTTACCCTCATTTTGCCGGTTCAATATGGGAAGAGAGGTAGATGCTAGACCTGTTACTCGAGTGGTGAAGGAAAATTGTTTGAACTGCCGGCAGAAATAGGCGGTGTCTTTATCTTTTGCTGCATAACTTATCATTTTGAGCTTCAAGTATAAAGTGAGGCTGCTTGTGAGAAAGGACATATGTGCTGCTACATCTATAACTGGCGTATGCATGTACACATATAAGTACTTAAGACTACGGTACGGTACTGAAATATGAACAGATTATTCCAGCTAAAACTGTACTGCCTTGTTCCTAACGAGCACCCTCTGCGCCAGTGAAAGACCGGTAGATCAACCTTTAAAATGCCCCAAACATTCGAGCGACAGGAAGATCAACAAAAAACAGAAATGAAAAGAAAAGTGTGATATCATACAGATCCCAGGAAAGCCATCCGGTCACAGTGCAGAAACTTTTTGAAAACATGCGCTTACTCTCCCTTGCTCTTCTTCTTCTTCTTCTCGCCATCATCCTCGGAGCGCTTGCGCTTCTTGCTGTCGTCCTTGCTGGCCTTCTTGGACTCCTTCTTAGCCTTCTTCAAGTCCTTCTTGCTAACTGATGTGGGGTTACCCTCTGAGTCAAAGGTGATTTCACCACGCTCGAGCTTGCGCTGGTATCGCTTCACGCTGAGACCGGCCTTCTCAGCCAGAGCCTCGAGGTCTGAATCCTTGCTCTTCTTGGACTTCTTCTTGGGAGACTCGTCCTCAGACTCGGAGTCCTCCTCGTCAGAGTCGGCGTCAGCCATCTCCTCATCCTCGACCTCCTCAACGAGCTTCTTCTGCTTCTTGCTCTTCTTGGCGGAGGCGGGCTCCTCGGAGGCCAGGGCATCGGCATCGGGGTTGTACTTGCGGGCCTCCTTCAGGTCGAACTTCTCGGGCTGGGCGGCACCGTTGGGGGCGATAGCAACACCGCGGGGCTTGATGGGCTTGCCCTCCATACCAGCAAGCTTACGCTCGAGGTTGAAGCGGGCCTCGTTACCGAGAGCGGCCTTCTCCTCCTCAGTCACATCGTCGGCCCACTCAGCGAGAGAGTCGACACGGATACCCAGAGAGGCCTTGGCGGCCAGAATACGGGCCATCTTGCCCTTGTTGCGGCCAGTGGCCTGGCCAATCAGAGAAGCGTGGTAGATCAGACCGTACTTGGGAGTGTCGTGCTTGGTCTTGAGGGCACGGAAGAGTGCCTTCTCGGCACCCAGAATCTGGATGGTACTGGCAGGGCTCTTTGAGAGGTTGGTGAGGCTGCCGGCATGGGCAATGAGACGGGCACCAACGAGATCACCGACAAGGGCAGTCAGGTTGGGGGCAATGGCGTTCATACGGGAGGTCAGGTAGCTAGCGAGCTGGGAGCGGTACTCGGCGAAGCCGACGACCTGCTCAGCGAGAGCCTGAATGTTCTCAAGATCGTCTTCGCTGATCTCGGTACCCATGGAGCGGTCGGCAGCAGCCTTGACAGCACCCTCAATCTCCTCGGGGAGGACCTCAGCAAGGTCGGCGGTCTCCCAGTTTGAGCGCATACCCATCTTCAGAACGAGCTTGGCGTAGGCAATGTTGTCGTTGAGGATCTTAGCCAGCTCGGGGAAGTGCCATCCATACCATTCCTTGACACGCATAGCGTAGGTGTTGAGCTCCTTGTCGAGGTCATCCAGAAGGCCAATGGCCTGGACGATCATGGTGTCAATTTTGTCGGGAGAGAACTTGAGCTTGTGACGGGCGAGAGAGTGGGACAGACCAAGGGACATGGTGGACATGTCACTGGGCATCAGACCGGGAATGAGAGTGGTGAGGTGCTCACGGATGGCACGGTAGATGTCGTTGGTAGAGGAGTCAGCGACGAGCTGGATGTCGAGGCCAGGAAGCTTGCTAATGGCATTGCCTTTAGAAGACAACGTTAGCGGGATGTGATATGAGATACTATCAGGGTTACCCACCGAGCTTGACATCGGCAACGGCCAGAGAGACCTTCTTCTCCTCCTTGATGCCATCGAGAAGCGAGGCCAGACGGGGGGTGACCTTGCCCTCCATGATGGAGGCAGCCTCCTCCAGAGCTGTGGCGGCACTGTCGAACTTCTGGAAGCTCTTCAACTTGAGACTATAAGTTGTGTTAGTGACATTGTTGCCGATAACGAAATTTTTGCGCCCGCTCAACGGGTGATTTATCCCCGCTCAGAATTTGCCTGACAGCGTCTGGAAGGAACAATTGACGTACAGGTTGGAAACACCCTCAGCAGTGGAGGCCTCCTCGGCGATATCATCACGCTTGAGGAGCTTCTTGTCCTTGGCCTTTAGCAGGGCATAGCCCGCGCTGGTCTCAGTGAGGATGAAAAGCGTCATGGTGCGCGGCCACGGCGTGCAGGGTTCGAAAAAATATAACAAGGTAAAACGTTCAGATAGTGAGTGAACAAAAAACCGAACCGAGAAAACGAGGGCTGAAAAATTAGGCGTAGGCGGCGACCACCGTTGTCGTTGGAGAAATCTAGAAATTTTGCACGGAAGAAAAAAGTGCAAAAGCAGGAGCCACATGAGTGGCTTGAGCGGTGTGGCTGGTGGCTTATGTAATGCCGTGCGTGTCCAGGTCGAATAGAGCTACAGAACAGCTTCCCCATTCATCTTCTCCACGTTCACAATGGAGGGCCTATTCTTTAATGTTAACGGCGGGTATGTGGTTTACTTGTCTGCCTGCCCTCAATAGCCCATTGCTAATTTACCCAGATACGTCGAGGGCATTGTCCGTGGATATCGGAATAGCCTGTTGAGCGGCCAGAACTATTCTAACTTAGCCCAATGCGAGACAATCGATGGTACGCTATAGTGATCCTATCGTCTCTATTGTCGATCCCATTGTTCCCTATTGAGTCTGACACTTAGCCCCGCAGATGTCAAGCTCCAGCTCGCTCCCGCATATGGCGATTTCCTTGCCTCTCTACCCCCGAACCCCTCCACCTCCGACCTCGCGGGTCGGATGACCGACAAACTAGTCTCTGAGTTCCGGTATCTGATCGCACAAGCGACGGGCTCATCGGCCAAGTTCCTAGAATACATGACATACGGCTACATGATCGACAACATCGCCCTCCTGATCACCGGTACTCTGCACGAACGTGACACCCGGGAACTCCTGGAACGATGCCACCCACTAGGATGGTTCGAGACCCTGCCTGTGCTATGTGTCGCAACCAATATCGAAGAACTCTACAACTCGGTCCTGATCGAGACCCCACTCGCCGCCTACTTCAAGGATAGTCTGAGCCACCAGGATCTGGACGAGCTGAACATCGAAATCGTCCGCAACACTCTGTACAAGAACTACTTGGAGGACTTCTACAACTTCATCAATACCCACCCGGACTTCAGCGGCACACCGACGCAGGATATTATGGCTGAGATTCTGCAGTTCGAGGCAGACCGCCGCTCTATCAACATCACTCTCAACTCCTTCGGCACCGAGCTGTCCAAGCTCGAGCGGAGGAAACTCTACCCGGAGTTCGGAAAGCTCTATCCGGAGGGCAGTCTGATGTTGTCCCGCGCCGAGGATGTCGAGGGTGTCGCTCTGGCTGTCAGCGCTGTGGCCGATTACAAGGCATTCTTCGATTCCGTGGGTCTGAGCCAAGGCGGCGGTATGGGTGGTATGGGCGGCGGCCCTGCAGATGGCAAGAGTCTAGAGGACCTTTTCTACCAAAAGGAGATGGATATGTCAAAGCTGGTCTTCACCCGTCAATTCACTCCGGCCGTAGTCTACGCTTGGATGAAGCTAAAGGAACAGGTAAGTATTGTCATCCCTGACTTCTTTTCGATAGTCGATCACGGACTAACACTTCCCAGGAAATCCGAAACGTAACCTGGATCTCGGAGTGCATTGCTCAGAACCAGAAGGAGAGAATTGGAAACTTCATCTCCGTGTTTTAAGCTCATCTAAGCATGATCTATGATGGTTTCCTGTTTCTTCCACCTCTTTGTACTTACCTATCTTCCTGGCTGGTATTTTGGTTTTGCTGCCAGCTGCTTTTCGTTGTATCGAGTACCCAGTTTGTTCTTTAACGTGAGCGCATCAACCTCTTTCTCTTTGACCGGGCTTAAATCGGTTATCGTTGGTTTCGGCTCCCCTGCTCTTTCTATATTTCGTATCAGGCGTTTTTGCATGTACGCTATCTCTATCTTGTGATATAGAGGACAAAATATACCAGTTATCCATTTTGTTGGTGTACATTCTTGTCTCAGGGTAAGCCCGGGATCTAGATCTATAAGTACATAGTGTGTTTCTTTCATGAATATGCTCGAGAATAAAGCCTCAGTTCCAGTAGACAATTTACCGAAAAGAGACAAAGCGAGAGAGATAAAAAATGACATGGGTCGGCCTCCACGCCGCGAAATCTTACGGCCCCGCGGAGCAGACAGCGGAATTAACCGCGATAGTCTAACCCGAGACCGTTGCTTATGCAGATTGAAAAGAAAGATTCCAATTTCGTTTCAAGAGGGCTCATATGTGCAAATGGCAAAGGGTGTGGCAGAGACAAAACACGAAATATTCGAGACAAAAATAAGAGAAGCCAGCCAGAACCAGATCAACAGACGCAGAAATCAGACCGAAAACAAATTCAGGGTACCAAGTCTACTGCGAACCTGGATCTATGACAAAGGGGAGGGGGAGGATCGTAGGTCGAGGTAAAATTTCATGATATCGGAACCAGGAGAAATCAGCAATCAGTCATACTGGAAGAGCACGCTGATACTTTCACCGTGGTGCACACGGCGGATAGCCTGGATATAGGTTAGCAGGTATGACGCGGAAGAAAGCGGACGAATGATTCACCTCGGCGAAAACGTGGCCGACTTCAAGGACCTCAAGCTTTGGGCACAGGCGCAGGTGCTCCTGCTGCTCCACGCTGTTGGTCACCACCACCTTGTCAAGGGCGCTAGCGTTGATGCGCTCGATGGCGTCACCGCTCAGGATACCATGGGTGACCAGGGCATAAACTTGGGATGCGCCCTCCTTCTTGAGGAGCTTGGCGGCCCGAGTAATCGTGTTAGAGGTGTCCGCCAGGTCATCGATCAAAATGGCTATCCGGTCACGGACGTCACCGACCAGCATCATGGTGGCATTCTGGCGGTCTGTGATCTTGGTAGGGCGGCGCTCCTGCGAAATTGTTAGACAAAGAAAATAATTTCCTGGAGCCTGTCAAACACTAACCTTGTGAATCAAAGCAAACTCCATGCCCATTTGATCCGCAATCGCAGTAGCGCGCTTGGCACCGCCAGCATCGGGGCTGACAATAACAGCCTGCTTGTAGTTGGGGATGTTGCGCTGGATGTAGCTCTTGAGGAGGGGTCGACCGTAGAGGTTGTCGACTGGGATATCAAAGTATCCCTGGTATTGCGGGTCATGCAGATCCATGGTGATGATGTGATCGGCGCCGGCACAGGTAAGCAGGTCTGCCACCAGGGTACCGGCTTGCGCAACCCACTGCTTGTAACCGGGTCGTGGCTGGAAGGAGTTGATCTTGGAGGAGGCATTGCTGGCAGCATCGTCGGCTCCGTTGGCGGCGGACTTGAGGGAATCCGTGGTGTCGTTACGGGGCAGACCGTTGCGGCGCTTCACGGGACTGCCAGTGCTTTCCTCGATCTGAGCTCTGGCCAGGCCCTTCTGGAGGTTGTCCATCCCATTCATCAAGCCGAGGCCTTCGGGTTTCCCGGGGCCTGGAGTGGGAGGGGTGCTCTCGAAGGTGTAGCCACCATTAGCGGGGCGTCCAGGAGCACCAGCCTTGATGAGAGGAGCACCGGCCTTGTCGTATGGGATATCACTTTGCCGGGAGTATGGGAAGAGAGGGAGAACGGCGGTGACTCGTCGTGCCGAGGCGGTCTTGCAGGCGGAAATGGTGATGAGGAGCTCTAGCAAGTGGTCGTTGACTTTGCCACCGCCAGATTGGATGATGTAGACATCCTTCTCACGGACCGACTCTTGAACTTCAACCCGAGTCTCACCGACGGCAAATTTGGAGAGCAGAACTTCCGCGGGGGGAATACCGAGAACACCGCAGATATTCTGAGTCAACTGAGGGTGGGAGTTTCCTCCGATGACAACAAGATTGCGAACCATGGTGTCTGGTTGTGTAGGTGCAAGGGTCGTAAGAATTGGTGAGGGAGGATCAAGTGGAGGTCAGAGAAAGTTGGAGGGGAAGGAAAATCTGGGGCGGAATGGGAGGGCGAAAGGTCGAGTCGAAGGGAAATGAAGAGCAAAAGAGGAGTTCTTGAGATTGAGGCTAACAGCTACCTCATGGCGAAGCAAAGACCGAGAGTTTGGAGAGACCAAGGCATAAAAAAGAAGGTGACGCTCGTGTGAGTCCCGCGATGGAAAAAAGCCTGGAGTGGAGATTGTGGCCTCAGGCACTATTCAGCCCGCATAAGGTAAGGCGCATGTCGTGACGACGCCCCCACGACGCCAGCAAAACGGTGCAGGAACAGTAGTCGCCAGGTATAAATGTTCCATTGTAGATATACACTCCCTCCTTTGCAACTGACAGAAAAAAAAAGCCCATATTCATGCGTATCCATGCGTTACTCCTGTGCTCCGGTCCAGTGGTAACTAGAAAAAACCCCATATAAAGAGAACTGTTCCGTGTAAAAGTCTGCTCCGTCCTTCATTCGCCGGTTCCAACCTCGCTGGAACAGAGTTAGCATTGCAGCCTGAGTGGGAGGGGGTTGGTGAGGCTTACAGATCAAGCTGTACTCCGTTGCTCACTCCATAGTCCTCGAGGGTGAGTTGATCTTTGAACGGACGTTCGCCTTGACGTTTGAGAAGAATTTCGTGGGGTTCGCGGCCGATGCGGGCAGCTACTTGCGCCTTGAAAAGCTCTGTATCTAGAGTCAGTATGAGGCGATTGGGGCCATAGATCAAGGGACGCACTGATCGGGTCTGAAGCAAGACACGGGATCGCAGCTTTGGTTCCCAGACGATCATTGACATGGACGACAATCATGGGCTCGGAGGATTGAGGCATGATGGGCTTCTTCTCCTTCTTCTCTTTCTTTTCCTTCTTTTCTTTCTTGTCCCCGCCTTCGCGCGGCGCATCTCGATCATCGCGTCGTCGCTGATCACGGTCCCGGCTGCGATCTCTGGGTCCTCCGTACCGGTCTCCATCTCTGTCGCGACGTGGTGATCGTGGTCGATCGCGATATCCGCGTTCTAGTCTGCGCTCATCGCCGCGGGAATCGTCGGTGCGGCTCTTGTCTTTCCACCGGAAACCTCCAGACTTTTTGGGTCGCTCTCGGTCGCCGTTGTCTCTTGGCCGGGGAGACCTGCTTCGTGATCGGTCACCCATGGCGCTGTATGAGGGGAAGATAATTTGTGTTGTTGCCCGACAGCCCAGGCCTAATGTAAACGGTGAAGCTGATGGGTCACGTGGTTGAAATGTAGCTGCCATCTAGTACGCTACTCCCAGATAGGACTAGCGTGTGTTTGTTCAAGAGCTTCTCCTGCGTCCAGAAGTGGTCTCTGTGTCCTTGATCTAAGTCCAAGTCTCAATTAGACACTGCAATGGAATTCCTCAATTAATCTCCAAGTCGTCACATCCTTTCCCCTTCCCCCTCTCAATACAGACAATGCCTGGCCGATTGAAAGTCCGTCGGCCCTCTCCGACCACCGTCTCCTTCACGGTCTCCAATGCGCCGCAGCGATCGAACTCCCCGGCCAAAATCTTATTCGGTCTCCAAATATTACTACGTGCAGCTCTTTTCTTCTGTGTGATTGGCGCTGGGATTGCGCGACTCCGGCACACTTTTTTCTACGAGGATGGCAGGGTGATAGGCTGGCCAGCCGTGTGGTCCAGTCCGCTCGGAACCAAAGTGTGTAGTCTGGTGGACTTATACAACCCCCTGGCTATGGTGGCAGTTGGAGTATTGGTCATATACTGTGTCTTCAAAAGAACCTATACCGGTAGGTTGAAAATGGCGAGCTGGAATGATTCAACCCATGCATAGCTAACCAAGACCGGCAGAGGAGTCCCTCCTGGTTATTCGAGGATTCGGAATCCAAACCTCGACATCCTCTTCAACTTACCTTTCGACTGCGGCAACAAGGTTTATTCCTACCACCCAAATCCAGGACATTGTCATCCATGAAGCTTTCAAGGGCTTCGAGGTTCGCTTTTATTTGGCTGTGATTGTCGAAGGCGAGCCTGATGCGCTGGTCGTCTTTCCGGTATGTGATTTTAAATGCACTATACTTCCAAGCTGACTTTTCGACTAGCACATGTTGCCCAAGCGGGAAATCTTAGAGCAAGTGTGGAGAGGTTCACGACGATGTCTTTACGATGCGAAGTCATGATGTGTGAAGATTCTATACAAGAATTCGTTGTTGTGTAGATGGACATATATTCATGCTTCAGGTCTAAGTCACTATGTACGGTTGGCTTAGACTTGGGCCAACTTTGCCGCGGCCTCTTCTTTGTTGGCAAGCTTGCGCTGCTTTGATACAAGTCCTCGAGCATTTTGAACCTCCACGGTATCCATCTTGCCTTTCTCGTTGACGGGAACATATTTTCCGTGTGGACGAGTCTCATTTCCGCCAACCCAGATCTTTGCGCCCTTGATTGACTTCTTGGAAACACCATGGTTTAATGATTCGCCACCCGTGTTCTGCGCGGCACTCTGGTCACCTTGGCTGACAGTCAGGTCCAGGAGAGCACCCGCTAAGATTTCATCGATTTTGCGCTGTCTCCAGACTGACCACAACCGGTCGACTGCTCCTCGCATCCCAAACTTGCTATCGCCTTTGGCTGTCGTGTTGTTGTTCCCTCGTGTGTCGCCAGCATAGATCCAGTCCATGGCATCTACACGGTTACCCGAGTTCTCGTCAGGGAAGATACAGTCCCACAGGACAAGAGGAGCATCATCAGCCATTTCATAGGTTGGCTTTCGGGGGTTCTTCGCGATATCCAGTAGTTCAGGCACAATGGATGGAGACTCGAGTCCCTGTCCCACCAGGAACAAAATCGCAACCATATGCCGCACTTGGTGCCACAAAAACGCAGAACCATGCAGAGTAAAAGAGTACACAAGAGGAGTATTCTGGGAAGTCGTGGAAGGAGGCGTCAAATCCGCTTCAGGAGCGGAATCCTCTTTGGCCTGGAATCCGGGTTGTCCAACGTAACCCACCGGGTTAGTCTTGGGGTTGACAACTTCAATGTCGGAGTGGAAGATAACGCGTTCAAAGTTCTCAATCTGCTTGCTGGTGTCCAGCTTGCAGAAATTCCGGAAATCGTGGGTACCCTCGAAATGCTTAGCTGCTTCGCGCATAGCCTCTATATCAAGCCAGCCCTCACGGTATTCCGCACGTGGTCCTTTACCGTTTTGTGCACGGTTCTCAAATCCAGGTGCCCCAGGTGTCGGAGAGAAAGCAGGATTGGTGAAGAAATACCTGTATTGACGTTCGCGGCAAGAGAAGCGAGCATTAAACCCTTCCGGCGGGTTAGGACACCACGCCAGAACACGGATATCTTCCGGAAGCACTCTGTTCAGCACTTGTACGTAGTTCGTCTCATCGGCAATATCATCCCACTGCTTCCCGCCAGACCCTAAATCAATCTGCATCGCATCTCCTTGTAGAGCATCACCCTCGGCGGAGGGCTTAGGCTTAGGCCGCGAGCTACGGACTCTCAACCCAATGACTTGTCCGAACGCGCTTACTCCCCGATCCGTACGCCCTGCCTTGGAATAATCACATCCATCCCAGTAAAGGTGGTAAGGTCGCACAGCACGTGGCTCGACATCATCTGGCTCGTTGCCATCGGTCGTTTCGGGGAAGATCAGACGTGTGCGCCGCAAAGCCTTCCACATCACCTCTTCAATAGTAGGCAACGGTGTCACATTTCCATTCGTGTGCTCGAGTCCATTGTATCGCTGGCCGAGGTATGCAAACTTGAGCGCAATGTACCGCGTCGAGTACTTGGAAGGGTCGAAGTTGCGATCGGCTTTGAGAGCCCGTGATGGCGCGCGAGTGTGTGTGATGTCGCCTTCCGGGGGAGACAAGGGCCGCTTCTTGGACGATTTGGAGGTCTCTGGGTGTGGGATGTCAGGTTCGTGGACGTCGGTAGAGATGGGCGCATGAGGATAGTGGGGTGTCTGCGACGAGTTTTCTGTTGGCGCTTTGAACTCCGTTGTTTGGGAGTGGAGTTGGCGCTCTAGCTCGGTGATCCGGGCGATCAGGCTGGAGTTGCTCCAGGCTGAGTAGTCGGTTTGTTCTTGTTTGCCGTCCGCCATGGTTGGCGTAGGAGTATGGGATTGGCAGAAGGTTCGCGTTTGCTTGAGGGTCTGTTGGAGTCTGCAACTCAATGGGAGGAGCCTTCCTGACGACTTCCACATGCCACGTCCAGCGACTGGGATCGATGTGGGCCGAATTTGGATTGACGTTGGGCTCGAAAAAATTGAAGTTGAAAAAGTCCGCGGAGCTTTGGTGTATTTTTGTAATTAATATCTGTATCTTACTGTAATTTTATAGTTTTCACGGCCAAGCAGTTATGAGACTCATGTATATATATGTATCCAGTAGTGTATCATCTATTATGTGTAGGTCTATGTATCTTGTAGGCAAGTTCCTCTCTTTTTTACGAAGTAGAATGGGCATTCTTTCAACAATGGAGGCGTAGGACACTTTCTTACCTTGGTAGATCTGATTCGCCAAGCTTGGAACCTTACCTCAATGTTCACCTCGTCGATGTCTATAACAACCAAGGAGCACAATATCGTACATGAATAGCTACGGCTAAGACGTACACTGATATATCTCGCTCTAGGGTCACCTTTACGGTAGAAGCCCTCTATACATCGCTGGGTTGACCGGTCTAGCATGCTTGCAAGTTGACCCATATTGAGAAAGCTGCGCATCAATCGCATGAATACACAGTCACAGCATGGCTGAGGAAGATACTCTCCCTGAGGCAGATACCTCAGTGTCTTTGCTGCTTCTTGGAGACCCTAATTGTGGTAAATCGACATTCCTAGCGTGAGTATATCTCGCACCTGTTACCCCCCATATATCCTTGATTCTTATCCTCAAAATGTTATCTCTGTGTAATATCTGCATATACACCCTTTTATATTTCTGTGCGCTTTACAGGCTAATATCATGCAGCCGTCTAAAAAATGGAAGGCTATCCCTATCAACGCAACCGGGTGCCAGCGCAAATACTCTCGAACTACTACGAGATGGCGATCAGCCTTTCATTTACGATATCCGGTTCTCCAGGAAAACATTTACTCTAGAGCTATACGACACATCTAATCCCAATCAGCATTGGTCAACCCTCAAACCCGACGTGGTTGTTCTAGCCTTTGATATCTCCAACAGAGAAACACTGGATGGGCTGAAAGCGGTACGTACAACCTGTACACATACTTGAAAGACCAAGTCTAACCAAAACTCGGGATATACAGTGGCGAAACGATATCACTCGATACTTTCAGTATGGTCATGGCGAGCGTCTACCCGTCATGTTGCTGGGCCTGAAAAGGGACCTGAGGAGAGAAGGCCCAGGAATCATCTATCCACAAGAGGTATGCTACTATCAACAGTGCATCATGTTTCTGCTGTGACTGACTGACGGGTCTAGGCTTATCGCATTGCTCAAGAACTTCGTTGTGATAGGTATGCCGAGTGTTCGGCTGTGACAGGCGAGCTGCTTGCAGAGACGTTTGAAGATCTCGCAAGGTTGGCGGCGATGACGACTACTGAAAAGGGTGGGCAGACGCCCGGTACTTCGTGTGTTATCTTATGAGTTAATCCTAGTTCTATTGTGTATTCCATACCCAGTGTACGCGTCTGCAATCGGTTACGTTGAACAATAGACATTTCTATATGCACGTACTTCCATGTAGACTATCTCGTAGACTAGTTCAGCGCTACAAAAAAAGCCACGAGGCGATAGTAGGCATAGTCCCTCAGCCGCCAACGTGGAACGGGTATACACACAAGCTGGCCTGTCAACCGGTGTACAAAATCCGGAACAGACCGTGACAAAAAATATACGAGGTGGATGTCCTCGGCACATATGTTTGGGTCTACATCCAAGCACATTCTTTCACACTACGAGCCTACTGGATATGATACCAAGCACAACCTTTTCAGATTACTAGAGTAACATGCAGGGAGAAACCAAGGTAACGATTAAGTCCACCTTGTGAATTGACAGCACAGGGCTTTCCCCCAGAAGCTTCGTAAACAAAAGCAACTGGATCTCTTTCCCTCATAAGCGCCAGTCAATGATTGACGTTGCTATTCCCCCCCGATGCAAAAACAAGGAAATAAAAAAAGTGCTGGTAAGATGTGAGGCCACTGAGGCAAAAGAATTGAAGGGTTCGGGGTGAAAGCTCTTTCTTCTGCTGTTTTTCAGTTTTTGGTTTTTTGAACATTGCACAGAGACTAGGATAGACATGTCAAGGGAATTTGCGGGGGATTGAAGACCATGTGAACGGACTCAAGAGTAGAAAAGCAAACAAGAGCATTCTCCGATCCCAATGTCTCCAGAGACGCAGTAAATCGACAATCTCCCCGGATCGCCAGACTTTTTTTTATTGATGTGATCAAACTTCCCCCCTCTCAACGACTACCCTCGTCACAGTGGAGCAATTTACCACTTGGCCTCACCGGAGGCGGGCTGAGCCTCGGCCCAGTCACCGGTAGGGGCGGCAGTGCTGGTGGCCCAGTCACCACCGTCAGCCTCCCAGCTGGTGGCACCAGCAGCAGCAGTGGCAGCGCTGGCGGCGGCGAAGGCGGTGCCGGGGTTACCAGCACCGGGGGCGGAGGCGTCCCAGTTCTCACCGGCGAAACCGGACTCGACGGCACCGGCACCGATCTCCTCAGCACCGGGAACCTTGGCCTCTTCGGCGATCTCCTTGTTCTCCTCGGCCTCGGGGTCGCGGTAGAAGTAAAGGTCAACAACGGTGTCCCACTCGGTCTCGCGGGTAGCGAGGGTACCGCGGAGACGGAGGACCTCACGGGCGAGCATCCACCAGACGAGACCGATGGCGTGGCGACCCTTGTTGTTGGTGGGGATGGCAACGTCGACGAAGTCGGTGGGGGAGTCAGTGTCGCAAAGGGCAATGACGGGGATGTTGACGTAGCTGGCCTCCTTGATAGCCTGGGCGTCGGTGCGAGGATCGGTCACGATGATGAGACGGGGCTCCTTGAAAGAGCGGGTGATGTAGTTGGTGAAGTTACCGGGGGTGAAACGACCGGCAATGGCGGTGGCACCGGTGTGGGAGGCGAACTTCAGGACGGCACGCTGACCGTAGGGACGAGCGGAGATGACACAGACATCGGCGGGGTTGTCAATGGCGGCGATGATACGGGCGGCCAGGACGATCTTCTCCCTATTCCATCGCAACACATATTAGACACAAGTACAGTTAGGAGTCGAATCACTGTCGCGCATACCAGGTCTTGCCAATGTTCAGGACGTTGACACCATCGGGGCGGAGCTTCCAGAGGTAGGGCTCCATGTGCACCTGAAGGTTCTTGGAACCAAGGTGGCACTGAGCAGCAAGGAGCATCTCAATGTCCTGCGAGGTAGGGTTGAAAACCGGGGGGAGCTGGGAGGGGGCCATGATGTGCGATTGATAGATTGACGGATGTAAGATCAATCGTCTGGCTCTTGTCGTGGTGATGGAGGGAAAAAGATCGAAGCCAAGCCGCGAAATTGTTGCACGTCGCGATTCGGGGCAATTTTCGCTTGCGTGCGTTAGGGCTAGGGCTGTGTAATGTTATGTAAGAATTCCTTGGCGCTGGCAGGGTCTCGTGACAGTTATTGCCTGAGGCAATAAAACCTCAAATAGGTTAGCGCAATTGACCTCCGGCCGCAAGATTTCCCGACAAAAGGTTGATGCGAAAAGACGTCGAGTGCTACTGGTGTATCATCTACTCCCAAGCTATTATCCAGCATGCCTCCGCGCATTTCAGTCCAGTCCACTTTGAAGGCTTTCACTGGTATGACTGTCAACTCCAGCGACATCAATTGTTACCATCTAACCAAGCGTTTAGGATCATCCTATGGATATAACCCATTGACCGCCGCCAACACATCTATCCGTGCTGCATCCAGCAAGACTCAAGTTCGGAGGAAACATGACCCTTTCATGATGGCCCAGGCGCGTCAGCGCAAAGCCGCCAATGTTTCTCGCCAAAAAGTCCTTGCGGAGGAACGGGAATCCTCATTGGGCGACCCTGTGAAGAGCCGGCCAACACCCTTTATACAAGAGATCACAGCAATCCATACCGAATCGCACATTCCATCTACCCTGAATGCAGACCTCAACTATTACCTGAACTCGAAAGAGCTGGATGCCGCCCTTGGTTTCTCCAAGGACTTGACAGAACCTCTCCAGGCCGTCGACCGCGACATAGCCGATCCTCAAGCCGAGAAGGAGGCAGTCGACGTTCACAGCAAAGAACACCAAAATGCCCAAGAAGCGATCAATCGAATTGTGAACCTCAACAATGGAAACACCAAGGACCGGGTGCGTCTCAACATTATGAAGTGCATCGAGACATTCGGAAGACACTACACAGACTCAGTCCTCCCACCAAAGCCTTCAGCTGTGGCTCATGAGTCTGCTCCCGTTCACCCGGAACGAGCACCTCGCGTCGGACCCGATACCGGCTCTCCGGAGGTTCAAGCCGCGATCTTGACTGTGAAGATCATGAACCTCTCCCGACACCTCGAATCCGCCAACAAGGACAAGCACAACAAGCGTAACCTGCAACTACTCATTCACAAGCGACAGAAGTTGCTGCAGTATATCCGCAAGAAGGAGCGTAGAGGTCCCCGTTGGCAAAACCTGATGGAAACATTGGGACTGTCCGATGCTGCCTGGAAGGGAGAGATTGCCCTATAATGGGTCTTGTTTTAATAGGATGCATCTACACTATTCCCATCTTGCATGTCTGGCCGGGTTTGGATAGAGCATCAGCGTATTACCTTGTATCATCTATCTTGGAGCTAGCGAGGGTTACTTTGTTGGTCCATGTCTTTACTTTTATGTTTACAGAGCATCTGTACAAATAGCATTGGTTTCAAAAAAATTTATTTGTCCCCAAAGCATCCATCCGTAGACAATGAGGTGAAAGGGAGACATATGAGACAACTGACCGCCTTATTATTCTGCCGACCTGGAGCATCGATTTTCAAAAGTTACAAGTTTGGAAAGAGCAACCTGGGCGAGGACACACCAAGTACAACCGTGTACCTGCCCTCTTCACGCCTTCACGTCCCTTTGTTTACGTTTTTGCGATTCTCGCGCTTTTTTTCTTCTTCCTCTTCCCTCTCTCCATGATCACCTTCCATATTACGCTTTCACTCTTGACTGCTCAAATGTTTACATCTTGCCTTCCAGGCATCTGACTGATCATATCTTGACTACCTGCTTCCTGCTTTCCAGCTCTGAAGCTTTCGCAATACTCATTTCCCCCATTCTCAGTTCATCCCTCACCACCCACATTTCTCTCGTATCTCGCGCGCTCGCCAAGATGCGTCTCCGGTCGAACCACGTTCTGCCCGACCCTAATCAGGTCCCTCCTCCCCCTCGTCGTCGTCGCCAGACGCGAGCTTCTTCTGCACAGCCCACCGAGCCGGCCACTGCCACGGCCAGAGGCCCCGCTAAGAAGGTCACCAAGAAGACCCGCGGCAAGAAGGTGAGTATAGGATCCAGACAGTCCGACCTCCTGTTAACACATGCTTCGAACAGAATGCCCGCAAGGCCAAAACACCGAGCCCTGAACCCGAAATTCTCTCCAGTACCACTTCGCCGGCCCCCCGCCTGGTAGTCTCCCAAGATCACAGCCCGCTGGCCGCCACCCCGGCGGTTCAGCCCACCGATGACCGTGAGTTGGATTCCTCTATTCGCCCTCAGGACCCCCAATATGCACCCCAGGACACCCCCGTGACACCCCAAGACTTCCCCGAGATGCCTGAAACCCTCCTCGGGGCATCCCTTTTCACAATCGAGGAAGAAGAAGAGCCATTTTCGCCCTTCCAACAGCTCGTCCAACAACGCAATGAAGAGCGCATCCAAGCGCGCATCCTAGAACAGGAGCGCATTCAACAGCGCGTTCTTGTGCGCATTGCAGAGGAACGGCGCCTCCAGGAGCGCATTCACCAATCCCAAACCTCCCCCATTCCCCTTGACGAACCCCAACATCCCTCCATCCCCTCTCTTGAAGACGACGATGAATTCGTTGATGCCTGTGAGGTTATTGACCGCAACTCCAAGTCGGCCAAGAGGTGGCTATTGCGCAAAAAGCTCTTTGGCGACGGTCCTTTGCGGGTCCCTGAGGTCCTCTCACCCTTCAGCGAGGACCGCAAGTACCGCATCATGAACAACATGGACCTTCCCGATCCCCCAGGCATTTGGACCAAAATCAAGGAAACGCAGTGGCTAACTTACTATCAAGACCGCTGGGGCATCAAGCGGGTGTACCAGCCAGACCAGCCCGAATCGTCACCCGCCAAACGTCAGAAGTCATCAACCGCGTCCCCGGCTATCCTCTCATCTCCCCGCCCCCGTGGAGCCTCCCGGAAGACCTACGCAGATCGCACCCGCCGCCGACAAATCGAGGCCAATGGCCGGATCGACCGAACTATCTTTCGCCTTCCTGAGCTGCTTGCTCAGCAACGGGCAGATGCCGCAGCAAACACGGCTCGCTTGTCTCCCAATTCAGATGATACCATTCCTCCCATGACCCCTCCCCCTACCGCCCCTGCACCCACTGCCGCTGCAACGCAACCCAACACAAGCTGGCGGAGATGGATGTTTGATTCAGTTACTCGTCGTTGGACCAGTCTGTGGGGAGGAACCCCCGCAGAAGAGGCTGCAGAGCAGCGCATTGGTAAGTCATGTACTCATGAAATCCATTTCAATAGCTCACGTCACGTCTCAGTGGAAGAACCTCAAACCCCCCATGCTCAAAACATTTCTTCCGACCCACCCGCATCTGCCCCCTCGGCATACTATGCCGCGCGCTCACGACAAGAGAATCCAGATACGGTGACACCTCAACAGACCGGCAATCCTCGTGTCCGCCGTCGCACACAAGCTCGTCCTTACTACCCATCCCGCCGCTACGACCTCTACCCTCGCGGCTTCGACGAAGCCCTTCTTGACCGTTGCTTCGCCGGAAGCACCGCCCCAGGCGACCGCAAAGTCCCCGCTCCGCCTGAACAAACACAATCACATGAAAAAGAAAAAGAAAAAGAAAAAGATTCTTCAAACAAGCGCAAACGCCAACCCTCCCCCGATGTGATTCCAAATCCTCCAGGTTGCAGTTACGGCTTGCATGATGATTACTTCACCTATGACGATGACGACGAGGCATGGGCTGCCGAAGAACAGGCACGCCGAGATGCTGCGAAGACCTCCCCGAGTTCTAAGAAACCCGCCACAAAGAAAGCTCGGGCCAATTTCAATCATGCTGGGCACTTTGAGGTGCCTGATTCATCGGGCTCAGAGGGGCCCACCCCAGTCAAACAACCCGCCGTTAAGAACTTCAATCGATCTGGACATTTTGAAGTCCCCGAATCCTCTGGTTCGGAGGAGGCCTCGTCTCCGGACACTGGCAAATCGTCAGGCCCTAACGGTCAGGGTGCGCGATCCAAGAGAAGCCCCTCCCCCCTGACCAAAGCCCGCCGCACCGCCGAACAACACAAGCCGAAAACCCCCAGTCGTCTTCGGGCTGCACACCGGTTCTCCTTGGACCCCGCTATTATGGATAACCTGGACAAAATGATGGAAAGTGAAGATCCCTCGGAGCGCGCAAGGGCTGCAACCGTCCTACAAGCTTGTCCCACCGGGGACCTTCGCAGCGTGAAGTGGCCTAAGACAAAGAGTTGGGTCGACAAGATTGACATGGTATGGGACGACATTAACACTCGGGATCGTTACTGGCGCAACCGGATGGCGGCAGGCGGGATGGACCGCGATAAAGAAATGCAATACCGGGTCCATAAGCAGTTTCAGGAAGGTGTGGCTATTCTGGCCAAGGCTCGCCGCGATGGCCGATGTGCCCTGGTGTAAGTTGATGAAAGGGACGTGGATTTTTGAGCGATAACATTGAAAATGTTTTGAGTCCTATGTACAATTTGCGTCTTCAATAAGTTCTACTTCTATCACAGATTAATCATCGATGCCCCTGCTTGACCTGTAATCACTGTAGTAGAACCGGTAGATTACGAAGATCTAGAAAATCTCATACCTATTTTCACAGGTATAACGGTAATTGAGAAGTAATAGCAGGTGGTAGGAATCCAAGAGCTTGTATTATAGGAATATCATCAAATTCACCGCGGTTGACGTAGCGAGGTAACTGGAGTATATAGTTTGGACGACTCCATTGCAACATTTCGAGACTTTGTTTGACTACAATACAGTTCTTGTCCCTATAGCCATTTAGCTTTTATACCTCCTTCAACTTATCTATACACAACGTCATGTAGATATCAAATCAGTGTATTGTTTCTAGGTAGTGGTATCGTGCAGCCTAATTCAAAAACGAAGAAAAGAAGAATAGGAAAAGAACAAAAAAATAAAAGAGAAAACGCCAGAGACTGAGAATATGCGTCTATGCAAATCCAGTCTCGATCATGGACACATGCGTATCCAAGTCCTGGTATAAAACAAAATCAAAAAAAAAATTAAAACAGAAGTTTTCCGCACTGAGAGTACCGGTTAAACCCTAACTAAACAAAGGACTCCTCCTTGCCAGAAATAAGACTCCCATACTGATTATAAACTGGCTCATCAGGATCATCAACCTCCTTAGACCAAAGCCCAAGCCCATCATCAAACAGATCCCTCTCCTGCCCATTACAAACCTCAGCAAGAGTAATCCAAGTCTCATCATCCGTCCAGATCCCACCGCGGCCCCCACGCACCTCCAACCAATCCTGCCCGCCCAGCAGCGCAGACTGCGCCGTGTCGAAGCCGTGTGCGCTGCGGACGTACTTGCGCAGGAGGGCGCGTGCCCAGGGGTAGAACCACATCTTTTCCCACCACGCGTTCCGCAGCTTGGGATCGCCGTTTAGATGGGCTAGGGCTGGGATGTGGCCTGAGTGGACGTTTGTCATGAGTGGGGAATTGTGCCAGGAGGTGTTGTTTGGGTCAGGGAGTTTGTCTAGTGTGGCGTTCCAGACCGGGCGTAGGGTTGATTCTTTTGCGAAGGGGGATTGGTAGTATGGGTTTGGGAGGGTGGATATGTCTGTTGGAAGGAGGAGGCGGTGTTCGCGTGGGACGCCGTGCTGGGCTTGTAGCATGGACATTTTGGTGATGTTGTTGTATTTGACCCATTCGACGTCGTTGCGGGACATTATTTGGTTGAAGAAGAGTTGTGATTCGAAGTCCACGCCTATGCCGTACTCGTATCGGTGGCCTGTTTCGAGTCGGAGGCTTATTCCTGTTATGTTGGCTGCATCGGATATGCCTACTAGGCGATAGAACCACTCCTTGACGCCGTTGGTTGTGCGGCGCCGCTCCAGTTCTCGGATTACTTCTTGTCGTCCGTAGATCTGCGTTAGGGCTTGGTAGTCGCCTGACTTCTTTGTGCTCTGATCTAGTAGTCGGAGAACTTCGTCGTAGATCAGTCGTATATCGGCTGCTTGGCCAATTACCGCCCCGGGGTTCAACCACTTGGGTCGGTTCAGGTGTCCATCTGGGTAGGAATCCGTCTTCCAGCCATACACATCCGGAGGCAAAGTAGACTCAGGAACAGAAGCGCAACCGGGGTCGTCCTGCAAACCCGGGAAGCAGACCTTGCTTGCACCAAACAGCACCCGCTGAGTGTACTTCTGAACATTCTCAGACACAGGCCGGCCGTCCAATCCGGCAAAGCCAAACTTCTCCTGTAGCTTCTGGTTGTTGGTCCGAATGAGATTCTGGAACCGCGTAACCAAGACCTGCGGTGGCAATTGGAAGAACGTATCCAGTCCATCCACCATCAACACAAAGTCGCGGTCATGCACAGTCTTGCTGTCGCGGATGTAGTTGCGCGCACGGGTGATCTGCTCAACCATGCGCTCTGTCTCAGTCGCTCCGGGTACATCATGGCCGTAACCAACTAGTGTTGGTGGCGGATATCCCAGGATCATAGCCGATGTGAGCGTGCGACATACTCCACGCGAGCCTTGCGAGGCGGGGACCAATAGGTGCAGGCGTGGGTTGGGCTTGTCTAGATCGTGCGGGAGAGTCTGATTGATATTGATATCCGTCCGGGGAGGGAGAATGACCTGGGCATCTTCGGGGCGCTCAGGGAAAGGATGTTGTGAGGGGAATTTGGTCCAGAAATCGGGTTCAGGTCGCTGGCGGGTTGTTAGCTCTATATCTAGCTTGGCGGTTGCGGGATATTCCTCCACCGAGCACCACCACTCACCTTTGAAGAGGAGGGAAGCATATAAAAGACGAAGATTAATGCGATGACAGACAGGGCAATTGTCTTGCGCTGTGCACGTGGACGGTGGTAGACCTGCCATAGCACCGTTGTTGCCTTCGACTTCGCATCCGTGAACTGTGGTAGTGGCGCGTCGACTGACGCCATAGTGCGAAGTTGATATCTCAGAGAGGTGAAAGGAACATGTTGTCCAGGAACCAGAATTAATTGGTATACGCAATCGCTGCTCTTGGGTGGTTCAAGTGGAGAGGCCACGGGCTGCGATCGGCGCGACGTTTCCGGTGTTGCTCCGTAGTAGGTAGGACCGCCACGTTATTACTAACTCATATGCTTACACAAGTAATTGAATTGGATATCCTTGAAAATACTATACAGGTGGATATGTACACGGCATTGCTCTCACTCCAAGTATATCTCCTCTCGAAGACGCTGCAGATTGCGAAACAGCCCACCAGCCGGCGCACCACTATCACTATCCCGCCTAGCCTCTGGCCTGGACCTAGATGATCCACGCTGATTTTGATCTGTAGCAGCTTGCTGCTGTTCCAAGGAGCGGCGGCGATCCTCCACAATCTTAGCAAGGCTATCCACAAAGCGATTGCGCGCCTTCTCCTCGGCCGACCCATTCCAGACAGTCGCCAGCACTCGAATAGCTTCGACGCGCCGGTTGGCGGCGTCCAGTCCGGCTTGTCCACCACCCTCGCTTTCCAGTAGCTCTGTCACTTCTGTCCGTAGCTTCTTCATCATTTGTTGGCCCTTTTCTTCGCGGTCGCGGCCATCGGCGTCGAGGTCCGGTCCCGAGACGGAGATGAAGGACGAGGAGAAGGAGATCTCTGATGGGGGCAGGGGCCATTCCATTGCGTCGCCGAATGTTTGGACGACGTCTTCTAGTCGTGATCGGACTTGGTTCAGGGTGCGTAGGTTTGTTATGTATTCGGGGTCTGCGGGTACGAGTGTCTTATTTTCATTTGTGGTTGCTGTAACTTCGTCTTGGGTTGCTGGCGCATCCTCTGCTTGTTCTGCCTTGCGCACATCTTCCTCTGGGACGAACTTTGTGATATCGTCGCGCAGGACTTCGGTCAGGGTTTCGGATAGCCCGATTGTCTCGCCTCGTAGTACCTCGACTTCGTAGGCTAGCCGTCCGCCGCTTCGTAAGATCTCATCGGTGAGCTGGGATAATGTGCTCGAAAATCGGATGTTTTGGGCGTTGACCTTGGAAAGTAATGACTGGACCTGCGCGGACAGCTCTGTCAAAGGTACTGAGCCAGGTGTTCGAGAGGCATTGGGTTGTGCTGAAGCCACAGTCAGTGGTGAAAGGGATTCATTGAGGAAGTCGGCTGGGTCGAAGTTCGGGTCGGCGAAGTTGGGGGAGACATCGGGTGTGTTGGAGGGCTTGGCACCTGCTCTGGTGCTCGAGCTATATGTTGAGGATGCCATGTTATGTGTTTGGCAACCGTGCAGGGTCAATTGGAGAGAGAGCTGGCCTCCGCGGGGATATCTCCACCGCCTGTGCTACTTTCGGTATAGCTGTTGCCTCTTTGGGCAAAATGGCTTGCCGCTTTATGCTCAGGTCTATACACCAGCGTAAACATTGCCATCAATTGTCTCTTATGTCTTTAAAGTAAAAAATGATCATTAAATATCTATCATACGGCTAAGCTCTATGTACATAGTGCCCAAGGGCGTATATATATCGCTTATCTCATGCAGGGCAGTAAATGAATACAAGGCTGGTCCAAACAACCAAGCCTTCCAGCAGAAACAGAGGGCGTATATGCATATGCAACCCATAAAATCTCATATCAACACCCAAGAAGTAAGAAGGCGGAAAAAGGGTATAAACCGAATTCAAGAAGCAAAAATCAACCGTAAAGTTCATGCACAGGCTTCGGCGCTTGATCCGCAGCCAACTCAGACGGATTAGTCGAGCGCGTGTGTGTACCAACACTCTCAGGCGCAGTCTGCTGCGAGCTTCCGCCGAGCTCACTTGCCTCCGGCTGCCCCGCGCGCTGGTATGACGGGTCCATGTTCTTTTTCATCTTGCGTCGGCGGAAGAACCAGAATGCTAGGGCGGCGATTATGAGGGCGCCTCCTACGCCGACGCCGACGCCGATTCCGATGCTGGCGCCTTGAGAGAGGCCGGAGCCTGAGGATGAGGATGGGGCTCCTGAGGTGGATGTGGAGGTTGATGTTGCTGTTGCTGTTGCTGTTGCGGAGTTTGAGGCTGATGCTGATGTTGATGTTGCTGTGGTGAATAGACTCGAGTCTGTGGCTTGCAGTTGGATTTGGATCGGTTGTGCCCACATTGTGATTGGGCCTGAGACTTGTGTGCTTTCGCCTGATACTTGGCGGACGGTCACGATTGTGGAACTATCCGATGGGAGCATGCGGGTACATCCTGCGTATGTGGAATCTTGGCCCATGGAGATGGTCAGGTATTCGAAGTTGCTTTGAATTTGTTAGTTGCGGAGTCACGGTGTAGGTGGTTGATAGTATCACGTACGAGAGACAGCATTGAGCAGTGGTAACCGGGTTGTGAATGACTAGATTGGCTGTGGTATATCCAACTGGACAAACACCCGGGCTATAGGCAATGGATGCCATTTGCCGTCCGAAATGAGTGTATCCCGAGGGGAAACAGTTCGGATCGGCATTGTCGCTCGCGGCGGCGTTTTGTAGTAGCAGGCCACTTGCAATGTTGTTTGCGCCTGATGGCTCAAAGGTCCACGAGCTTGAACATGATGCTGGTGGGGTGAACACTGTTGTCATTGCCAAAGTCGTGATTGTGTTTATGGTGGAGGGCTCAGTTGTCGCCGTGGCGGTCACAGCTGTAGCTGCTTCGCTCATATTGGCGAGTACTTTATCAGAGGTCAAAATTCACCAAAAGGAATTGAATGGGCTGGCCCGAGGGAAAGGGGGCAGTTTATGTACAGAGTCACTTAGCAGTCCCAGCCCCACTGCTCGACTCTTAGTGCTTATTTTGTCATTTCTCACCTTCACCATGTTATGTTTCTGAGGCTCGATTCACAGCCACAAATTTAGGGCAAAGTTAGTATCTAATTTAGTATGCAATTTGACAAGTCATGATTGGCTTTAACTCGTTCGCTGAGACTGCTTAAAGTCCAATATTTTCAGCATTGACGTGAGTTGGGGGCCAATTTGGGGGCCAACTCGGCAATGCGAAAACATCGGATAAGTTAAATCTGCGCTCAACTTGTTCACCCAACAGCCAATTAGAGTCCTATTTATTCTCCAGCTTCAGGGGTCTGAGCACGTTGGCCAACGTGGGACACGTCATAATGCCAGTAAATCGTAGGCTAAGGTCTAAATATCGGGGTAGCAGAAGACCTATAGCCGCTCAAAAGCAAGTGATGTTAATAATGTGCTGTGTTCGGGTATTTAGGTGCGTTTCAGCCACAGTATCATGCGATGTTTACGAGTCATTTGGATTATCTTATTTGCCGAGGAGATTAAGTGGTGGATAATATGTGCATATTGTCCAATCAGACGCCTTACGGCCCCTCAGACTGACTAGCTATTTTAAGCTATCTATTTACGGTAGCCGGCGTATAGCGAGTTATCTTGACTTCCTTGTATCTTGCTGATAGATCTCGATCTACCGGATGGAAAAGGTCTTAGCTCTGCAGACTTAATTTTTTTAATCTCTTTGTATCTAGTATGGCAGTCTAAAAGAAACAAGTACAAAAATCGCATTTGAATTTGCATTATACTAACTTGGTTAGAAAGCACCGAAGCATGTAGCCAGAGAGTCATTAAAGTGCTGCAAGAGCATCAAAAAGAAGGTGGGTATCTTCATAGATCCAGTCGCGTCCAGCCATAATACAGAAACAGTAAAGCCCAAAGCAGAAACATAACATAGAAACTCCATGTCAGGCATCTGCTTGGGACAACATAGATCAAAAGGCAAGGTCATATCTTCTTGTCGAAAGGTTATTGACCAATTAATTAGCGGAGACATATGTCCACTAGATGTCCTCAACAACGCGGGCGTTCATCGCACGCTGGAACCCATCATCGGCCTGGGATGTAGCGCCGTAGTTGCTCGGGCCTTCGCCGGCGTTGTCGGCAGCGATGAGCTGGCTCTGCACGGTCTGGTTCGTGGCAGGCAAGAAGATAACCTTGCTGTTGGCAGTCTTCGCCATGGCTTGCATGGCCTCGAGGTATCGGATCTGCATAGCAGGAGCAGAGGACAGAATATCGGCAGCCTGGCGCATCAACTTGGCAGATTCGACTTCAGCACGAGCGGCGATGACCTTGCTCTCACCGATTCGCTTGGACTGTGCGGCCATGGAGAGTGAATCCTGCAGGTCGCTGCTGAAGATGATATCTTTGATGAGCATGGACTCGACCTGCACACCCCAGCCGGCGGCGACTTCTTCGATAATCTCCGATGTCGACTGCGCGATCTCCTCGCGACGCTCGATCACGTCCTGGAGGACGCGGGCGCCGATCACATGGCGCAGGGTGGTTTGGGTACGCTCGATGAGCGCTTGTCTGACGTTGCTGATACCAAAGGCAGCCTTGTGAGGGGAGACGACTGCGTAGTAGATGACCGATGTCAGGTTGAGGGTCACGTTATCCTTGGTCATGCAGACCTGGCGGGGCACTTCGACGATCTGGATCTTGACATCGACTGTGATGATGTGCTCGCTGAGGGGGTTGACCTTGACCAGGCCGGGATCGACTGCTCGCTCGAAGCTAAGAAATATCAGTGATAGTTCGACAATGGCGACTTGGTTATAGCTTACCGTCCGAATCGCGAGACGAGACCGACCGCGCCTTGGTCGACGGGCTTGAAGGGGTTGGGGCAGCAGATACAGCAGGGAATAGCTCCGAAGAAACCGATACAATCACCCAAGCTGTGAACTAGGGAGGATTAGATGCGAATAAAACGGAGATTGACGCAAACTTACTCATGCCAGCATACCAGCCGTGGGCATCGGGGTTGTCATCATCGTGTTGAATCCGTGCAGCGTATTTAGGCTGCAGATCACCCATGCGGGCAGGCTGGACATTGATCAGGTGCTGGGGGCCATGGGGGTTCTCTGGGGCCTTGCTCGCACCGGCGCCGTTTGTAGACATGGTGTATAGTGAGTTGAGAAGTTGGGAGGTTGAGGATAGAGGGAAGAGGGAAGGAGGGGATCACAGGGTTTAAATGCAACGTCAAGGCCAAGTAAATAACCCGGGCACCCTTGGAGCTGCACTCCGCAGTGGAGAATAATTAACCTCAGCCTCAGGGCTGAGTTCTCTCCGCAGCCGATTATCCGAGTCGTCGTCATGGACTCATTCACCTACTTCCTATACAGGAAATACTAAGTTAACGTGAACTTATAAGTTTAGTTATCTACGCCTATACATGTATCTAGAGAGTAACTAGTATACCTTTGATCCTTCCATTCCTATTCCCTATTACCCTATTGGTATGCACATTCCGATGTACATTGTAAATATCTCGGCATTGTCATGCCACTTTCCAGATGTCTTCTAGCGGCCCACCAGCCCACCAGGGCGCAAGGGCGCAGGGGGAACAAGGCAGATTTCGGGCAATCCACGTTTCTCCGAACGCGAGCGCGAGAACGAGCTACATCGGGTAACCGCTCTATAGCTCACGCCACCTGGTGCTTGTGACTCGTTTGTCATCATCCATTGGCCCGCGCTCTTGGTTCTCGGGCGGGATCATCGTATTGGCGAGGCAGTGCTGGACACAGAAGTTTGGGTACCTTTGTAGTTGTCGGGGCTGTGTATATGTCGGGCAACTCACTGAGGTATGAGTATAATATTGGACCATCCAAGGTGCTCATGGAATAGACAACATACTTATGAGAGTCATAGCCTCCTATGAAGGACATGGGTGTTTTTGGTCTATATAGCAGATTAGTGGCCAACAATGTATCAACTAGCATCATTGGTCTAGTGGTAGAATTCGTCGTTGCCATCGACGAGGCCCGTGTTCGATTCACGGATGATGCACATTTCTTTTTTGTTTTATTTTTTTATTTATCTCCGACCGAGGATATAGTTATTATCACGGTTTCTAGTACAACATTTCCCTTTTTTTTCTCTTAACGTACTATTTCCATATTACTGCAATTCCAGCCTGTTTGAATTGGTGGCCCAAGTCGGCGTGCGGCCTGGAAGATATATATACACCTGCACAGTCACGGTATGCCTAATGCCTACCCTACCACATAGAAAAACAATAACAATGTTTCGATATTGTATGCACTAAAAAGGCTTTCTACAAGAAACTGACAGCTTTCAGTTATAACTCAACAAATATCAATAGAAATCACCACATAGCACGTGGGTTAGCACTAGTCCTCAACAAGACAATCCTACGCCAAACTCCCCACAGTCGAGATATCACGACATGCACTCGCACGAGAGAACAGACATCCGAGCAGTTACTAACAAATGCTCCGTATTAATCCTATCAAAATGTGTTAGTAAGTCCTAACATTGGCCACTCCACTGCTGACGCCATCAGACTCCAAGTTCACGTCTTCTGGTGCAATATGCGCGGGGTTGAAGTGACATGCAGGTACCGAGTACAATAAATATATGAAATGCCCCTCATCTGCAGTATTGCAAGTGCAATTGCAATTGATTCTTCAATTCTTATTCTATCCTCCCTCCTCCCTCCACCCTCCACTCCCAAACCAAGCCCTAACCGGGACATACATCCAAAATGACCGAAAAGAAACAACTCATAATCAACGCCTTTGCAATGCAATCGCCAAGCCACCTAAATCCAGGTCTATTCCGCTACCCAACAGACCAAGGTGCCGACTACAAAAACATCAAGCACTGGATCGCCCTCGCAAAGAAACTCGAAGACGCAAAGTTCCACGCCATCTTCTTCGCCGATGTCCTAGGTGGTTACGATGTCTACAGGGGACCTGCGAACCTCGATCCTACCATTCCGGCCGGTGCCCAGTTCCCAATCAATGATCCACTCTATAGTATCCCTGCCATGGCGGCCGCGACGGAGAATATTGGGTTCGGCGTTACCGCGTCGACGACATATGACGCCCCCTATGCACTGGCAAGGCGATTCTCCACGGTTGATCATCTCAGTAATGGTCGCGTTGGTTGGAATATTGTTACCTCGTATCTGGATTCGGCAGCGAGGAATTTCGGGTTGGATACGCAGGTCGAGCACGATGAGCGGTACCGCATTGCGGATGAATACCTGGATGTCACGTACAAACTGTGGGAAGCGTCGTGGAGGGACGACGCTGTGACGTTCGGAAAAGGTGGTTCCCAGAGCCAGCCGTACGCCGACCCAAAGGGAGTCCGTCAGATCAACCACAAGGGAAAATACTTCCAAGTTCCCGGTCCGCATCTGTGTGAGCCCAGTCCTCAGCGCACGCCGTTTATCCTTCAGGCGGGAACATCCACTGCTGGCAAGGCCTTTGCAGCGAAGCATGCCGAGGCTGTTTTCCTGCATGCGCAGAAGCCGGAGCTTGTTCGGCCCTCTGTTGATAGTATTCGGCAGCAGGCTGCCGAGCTGGGCCGGAATCCACAGGATATCAAGATTGTGGCCGGGGCGTTGGTCATTGTTGCTGAGACGGATGAAGCCGCGCAGGCCAAGTTTGATGAGTTGAAGACGTATGGTGATCGGGAGGGTGCGCTTGCTCTGTTTGGTGGCTGGACGGGGTATGATTTGTCGACGTATGATGATGATCAGGATTTCCGGTTTGTGGAGTTGCCTGCTGTGCGGAGTATGGTAAATCACTGGGCGAGTACTGTTCCTGGGACTGAGGGTCAGAAGTGGGATAAGAAGACTATTGCGGAATATTTGGTTCTTGGTGGGAATGGGGTCA